ATGGTAGTATGTATGGTCATCAGGAAAGGACAACATAGACAGAAGTCCCATCTGAGTGCTGAGAAAACACAGTTTTACAGAAAATAGCGAAAGTAAAATCAGCTGGCTTGGTTTGCACTGGTAGATTGCAAGATGTGTAGTATATAACCCAAATTTCACTGCTGAAATACTTCAGTAAAATACAAACCAAAGCCCTCTAACACTGTGGTTGCCACTGGGGGAGCAGAGCAGGACAAGAAGGGTGCTGTAATTAGCAGGGTAATTAACAGTAAAATGCAGTTGAATAGGAAAACAATTTTTAGTTCAGAATTAGTGATGGCCTGTCCCAGCCTCACAGAGGGTAAGTTACATGTTTGCACTAATCTGATCTCAGAATGTGTCATTTTGGGAGCTAATTGAGTTTAGTCCTGGTTAGATTTAAAAATGTGTTAATGAAGATTGTCATTAAAACTGTGGTGACTGTTCCTGCTGATGGAGATTCCACCAAAAAAAAATCATAGTGAAAACTAAATAAATGAAAAGTATGTGAATTGTGAGGTAACTTGAATAAATTCAATTCGCACTTATTTTATGGCTCTCTGCTGGTCCTTTTCAGGAGTTCAAACTCTAATTCCTCTGAGGGGTTTAAATTTCCATTTCAAAATGGAAGTAGTAGTTGTAAAGCACCTCTAAAGCATTTTCTAAAATATACAAGTCTTAAGGAGTTATATCACAATGTTGTCTACTCTAATAAGAAAATGAAACAAAAATATCCAGCAGTCTTATTTTTTACCATTTGGATGGAAAAGAGGAGGAGAAGGAGAAATAATAATAATAATAATAATAATAATAATAATGTAATACCAAACCTTTTAACTAGGAATAGAATTTGAAAACAAAAAAGATGAGGGTTAATTGTATTTTCACGGACAGAATGTGTAACTAAGCAATTCATTTTTTAACAGGGAGAGGAGAACAAAGATTTTTTACTTGTTTCACTTGTTAAAATTTAGAACTTTAACTGAAAAAAGGAAGAGATTGGGTCATTTTCAGAATTTCCATATGAGATATAACCCTGTCTCTGGCAGCTTCATCCCTCTTCCAATATCTACTCTTCAAGTAGCTGCACAATTAATTTAAACTTATTTATTGTATTGTGTGCAAATGAAGCCTGTATTACGTTTTAAGCATCTAGTGATAAGTAGTGTTTAGTGCTTGTGCTGGTGGTGGTGACTGAATTATACAAACTAATTAATACCATTTCATACCAAGTGCTAAAGCCCTGTCTCACCCTGTGTTTTTTAATTTGTGTGTGTTGTTCCCCTGAGAGATGTTTTTCATTTTAAAAGCATCATCCATCTCTCAAGGTTTGTGTTGAAACATGTAATCTGAGAAGATAGATCTCAATTTGATAATGCAGGTTAAAAAAAATGAAAAAATATATTTACAGTCAATTCAGTCTCAATAGTAATTTAAATATTCAAGATTATTTATTTAGCTATGGATTATTGTAAATTTTTCAAGTTTACATGAGTCAAAATATGATTGATAAAGGTAATGGCATGAGGGCAAAAAAAAAAAGATAAAGATGTCAATGCAAATAACCCTCACCCATGTCTGGAAGGAAGTAAATTGTAATTCCAGCTTCTGGAAGGAAAGTAAATTAAAAATAAAAATAGATTTGTTGAAATCTGCTATGCTTAGTAGAACATCATCTTTTAAATCCTTTGTTCCACTACTATTAGGTAAAGATGAAAACTAAACCACACCATATTTTATAGCTGCCTGAACAACTAAAAGAGAGTAAGAATTGCACAAGTGGCAGAGAAATATCCCAGCTTCTGTGCCTTTATGACATCAGCTTCCTGCTGGATATTTTTTTGTGAAATCACATTTTCTGCCACCCACACGTGGGCAGTGAGACCCCTGTGCTGCAACATTGATTCTTCAAAGACTTTCATACTAGAAACTTGATTTCTGTTCATCCCCTTGTGTAGTGAACTAAGAAAAATAGAATTTTACAAGACTTTCACATTGCGTATGTACACACAACTCACAAAATTGCATTAAATACACAGATATGAGATACCCTTTACTGTGCCTGTACACAGACGATTGTTCTTTAGCAAAAAGATAACAAAAAAGTACTACAGCTTCTGGCACATCATTCATGTTCTTGAATTTGTCCTCTTTTAAAGTATTTCTAACAATTTAACATTGCAGGATGCTGTAAATAAGAGCAAGGCGATTACTAAAGTTAACATTTCACATCTTGATTTTATTTTGTGTAGTCTCATTTTAGTATTTTTTTAGTATTCTAATTATTTTCTCCTTTTAGGTTTTTGGGTTTTTCTTTTTTTCACTCTAGGTTGATAAATACAAATATTCTGTGGCAATTACCCAAAAGGTTTTTCCTTTCTAGCCTCATTTTCACTCAGTTAAGTAGAAACTCCTGCTTTCTTTGGTCTTAGTTGCCTGATGGCAGACTTCAAGATACTTTTTGTGGTGCCAAATTACTGAATTCCATACCTGCAGGCAAGAATTATGATATACTGGTGTCAGTAGGTGTGGTGGTGGTATCTCCATCTCATCCATGACTTAGATATGGCATATCTTAGATATTTTGTTTTATTCATATTATTTTTTGGTTTTTTCCTTTGTTTGGGGGTTGTTTGGTATTTGGTTTAGGCTTTTTTCCTATTTTTCAGTTTGGTTTGGGTTATTTTTGTTTTGCTTTGGTTTTTTTTTTGGTTGGTTGGTTTTGGTTTAGAGGGTTTTTGGGCGAATGGTTGATGTTTTGTGTTTGGGTCACGGGTGTTTTGTGTTTGGGTCCAAGTCTTCAGCGTGTACAGAATTAATTTTTATCATCAGAAACAAGTGCTGAGAGACCAGTTCAAAGTCTGTGGCCACTGGTTTTTGTTTAGTACCAGGATTTTGGACCCACTGAGTTTTGGGGTGTTTGTGCTGCAAGAGAAGGGGAAGACAAAGTTCCCAAGAAGTCGCTGACAGAGGGATTCCTGCCATAAGAAATGTAAAGCCTCCCTAGACCATGGTAATGTCACCAGCTCTTAACAAAGAATTAGTAGAAAACTTAGTAAAACTAATTCAGAGTCTAAATGTCGGGTGCTCTTATCAATGACAAAGGATGGAGTGTAAAAACATGTGTCACAAACTTTCTGCTGCTTCATGTCTTCCAGAATCCTGGTGCTTAATAATGTGTTCTTGGAGACTTTAAAAAATGTTCCCACTGTAGGGAAAAGCTTTAATATTTAACATATTTTCTTTTAAATGTTGGACGGAATGTCTTTGTTGTCTTGATACGTCTTGGTAGAATCTTTTTGTGGACAACCATGACATTGGTGGTGGAGAGGAAGAAGTTTAGTACAAATGACAAAAATAAGAATATTTAAGTTTTTAGCAGTAAAATTTTTGGGGTAAGTTAAACCATAGGAACTATTCGAAATCTATTGGTCATTGATGGCAGTTGTACCTGGATTCTCTTGTGTAAAGATCAGAAGAAGATTTAAACCCTTCCACAAGCATGTTTAAGAAGAATACACAGATAAATGAATATTTACAGTATATAAACCTTCATGTAAGCTTGGAAGGATCAGATTTTTTGCAAATCACAGACTATTACATAATATTCGTAGTGTGGTTCTACTCTACACAGTTGAGTTGAGAGACACTTCTGATTTCCCCTTTATGAGCTGTAAATAAAGATGAGTTTTGTTGCTGGATGAGGCAGTCCTAACCAAAGGTACTCACTGGAGTGGCTGTGCTTGCTTGACCTTTGTGGAAATTGTTGAAATTCTGATTTCCTCACACTTTTACTGTTTTACAAGGGCCTGGCCACATGCACAGTCCTTTTCTCTTTCTTCTTTTCTCATCAGAGATTCTCCCCATCGGAAGGTGCCCAAAGAAGTCTCCCTCTTCTACAGCACATCAAATGCCTTTTTATTAGCTTTTCAGAATTGTTATTGAACTTTCTTCTCCAGTTTGTAAACCCTCTGTACTTCAAATTGCTTTCTACTACTTACTTTATGTGCGTGTTTATGTAGTATACAGTATTTCAGCTTTCATCTGATTCCAGGATATGAAAGGTTTCATTTATTTATGCAAGATCATACGACAAATTCCAGCAGTAATTATTGGTGAATTATTGCTGGACTTTATAAGTGTGTGCTCACAGTTAAATAACTTTTAGCTCTATATTTTCTCCTGGAGTTACAGGTACCCTGCCTGCCAAAGCCATCCTCTTCGTCATCTTTTCATTCAGATGTTTTTGCCTTTCTCCTGTAGATTTCACATTTACCACTAATCTTTGTAGATTTCTGGATTATTGTTTAACGGAGATGTTAGATGTGTTTGCTGGCAGTACTGTTTGTTTATCATGGGCTGTGAGGGAGCTCAGGAGTAGCCAAGAGGCTTTAGAACCTTGTGGGATGGTACAGCAGATTTGGGTATAAATTTGGGTTTGAGAGAGGAGTGTGAGGATGGAGGGATAGGAGGAGTGCAGCACTGAATTTATATGGCTGATGAAACCACCAAAATTCTAAATATTTACAACAAAAACTTGGAGTCTCTGTCCTCACAGGTTAAATTTTGTAGTTTACTCTATTATGAAAAAATGCATGAAAAATATTACTGCATTATTATGCTGTTCTTTACCTCTGGACTCTCCCAAGAACACTTTTCTATTCCAGGGTTCCCATCTTCCCCCCTTCGCCAGTGTAGATGTCTGATTATATGATCTGAATGGTCTATTATTCTTCTTTGTAATGCATTAAGTTATTTATATTCTGCACACACAACTGCTGTAACAAAGTTTTAAGCAATATACCTTAGTAGAAGTATTGGCTAAGAATTTTAAAATTTATTTAATTCTGCTAAACATTATGGGACACTATCCTGAATACTCTATTTAGGCTGGATGCTGTAGCTGTGAGTATGACAATGACCCAGTGTGGTATATACAAGCTAAGTGGAATTATTTAGCAGTATTTCTTTTTTTTTCACAGCCTTTCATGTCCCCTCGGTACCCTGGAGGTCCAAGGCCACCTCTAAGAATACCCAATCAGGTAAGAATTTATCACTCCAGAGTGAGTGTTTGCTGTCTTACTTAATTCTGTGTAAAATGCATCAATCTCTCTACATACAAATTAAGTTTACTTCACAGTAAATATGGAGGTTATTGGTGAATAACAGATACCATGAAGTGCTGTGTGGCTCTTACAGACACTCTGAGGGCTTTATAAAAGTGTTGAATTCCCAGTTTACCCTCTTCCCTATCAAAGGATTCGTCTGCCAGCAAGGCAGGGATGTAGTGAGCTGCTGTTGGTCAGCAGGGACCTTCACTGGCCCATCTGTAAAAAGATGGTTCTGGAAGTGGAGAGCATTTGTGGTTTTAAGTTCTCCATAGTGTTTCCAGGGCTGCCTTTCTTATTGTCACACTATACCCCAATCTCATTTGTGGCTATTTTTTGTACCCATGTGACACAGTGTCAACAAATTTGTCTCTAGTTTTGGCACAATATCACTAGAAAGGATGAAATTTAAATAGTATCTTAGCAAAGGTTTTTGAGCTCCTTATCCAAGTATTTGGGTTCCACACACTCTGTGTTCCTGGGCACTGCAAATCCTGGCAGGGGGGAGCTGGACGTGCTGAGTGGAAGCGCTGCCAACCTGCAGATTTTGTTTCAGGAGTGTTGTTTTGTCTGCACACTGTGATATTTTCGGTTCAGAGCTGGAACATAATCACATAATGTCAGTGAATTACAGGTCTGGCTTCATTCACATTATACCATGTTCATGAATAGCTACTTTTAGCACCACTGCCATGACTCGGGTTACAGTGTGGATGGGCAGTGTGTGGAAGCAATGAACTATTATAGTGCAGCTTTAAGGCTCAGAAGAGGTGGTAGTTTGGTCCTGGTCTAGTGGAACATGCCCCTGCCCATGGCAGGGAATTGGAATGAGATGAGCTTTAAGGTTCCTTCCAACCCAAACCACTCTGTGATTCTGTGATTTACTCATTCTGTGATTTACATTTGTACTGAAAATTTGGTGCTGTTTTGGAATGCTAAATAGCACCCAGTGGATCAACCACAAAGATCCATTAATAAAAACATTTTTCTACTTGGCCAAACTTCAGTTAAGATCCTGTGAAAATGAGCCTTAACCCTAGTTCAGCAAACCCAAAGGGTAGATTAACAAGTGGGGACATTAAAGCACATTACCCTTGGGTCAGAAGAAAAAGCCAGGAATTAAAAAGTAAAATATATGTGTTATGTCTTTAAGATAAATTTCTAAGCATTAAGTGCTTTTCCCGGTGGTTTCCCTTCCTTCAGGCCCTGGGAGGTGTCCCTGGAAGTCAACCACTCCTGCCCAGCGGGATGGACCCCACACGGCAGCAGGGTGAGTTCAGCCACTCCAAATTACTACCCTCACAAACTTGTATATTTCTCCCTGTATTTCAAACCCTACTGCACCTCTTAAAGATTTTTTTTTTTTATTAGAAAGGATCAATTTGCTAAAAGTTACCTGTGTATTGTGTAATTTTTAATGTGATGTGACTTTATTGCAGGACATCCAAACATGGGAGGGCCGATGCAGAGGATGACTCCTCCGAGGGGAATGGTGCCATTAGGACCACAGGTACCTTCTACAGATGGGTTATTCTTACTTGACAGGCCTGTACATATATTCCTCTGACTTTCTGTAACTTGAAGGTGCCCAGGATTTGTTTTCACAGTCCTCTTCTAAAATAAACTTCCAGTTTTACAAAATAAAAAATTAGCTCTGAATTGCAGCTGTGCAAAATCCAGAAGGAAAAATCTGTCATTTTTGTTAAGATTTGGAATTAAATGGGGAATCCCTTCATTTGCTTATTTCAGAAAAATGTGTGCTGTCATCAAAGACTGACATTGGTAAGGGAGACCAAGGGTGGAGTAGGTGTTTCCTCATCCTGCTCATGGATAATTATGCTGATTAGGAGAAAAAATACTTCTAACTTAGAGAAACTCTTTGTACCAAAAATACCCCTGGAAATTCTGTGAAGTTTTTCTTTCATCTACTCTTGATCTAAATTTTTGGTGAGTGCTGGAGAGATTTTAATGTAAAACAAGATGCTCTTGTTGCCATTTCTTGCCCTTGTCCATCATGAGCAGATCTGTGGCTCTGTTTCAGCAGTGGACCAAGGGAGGAAACAAACGGCTCTGGTGCACACCTGAAACACAAATCCAAAATATTATTCTGCGTTTTGTCAGCACTGTCATTGAGGGAATGTGTAGGTGGTGGTGTTTCATATTGGTGTTGCCAGTGTTTTGTTTCACAGTGTGCTTGTTGTGCCCACACTTTGCATTTTCACTTCCCCATTTCAGATAATCTCTCTTGTGGCTTCTTGTTTGGATAACAGCTACATTTTTAATGATTAAATATCTTTGCCTTTCCAGTTCTGTCCATAACTGTCTCTACAATTTTGGATTTTCTTGGTACAAACCAGTTGTGCAGTTCCATACATTGGCCATGTGACCAACAAAACATCATTAAATACATTTCTCAATTTTTTCTGTAGCACTGAAATACATTTACCATTTTTGGAGGTAGAAGGAGAAGCTTTGCTGTGCTACCATGTGAGATTGAGCTGATCCTTTATGCAGCACCATTAGTCACACAGCAGGCAAATTTCATGCCAGTTTTTTTATGAAGATAATTTTCCCATTTTTGCTGTTGCTTAAAATCCAGTGGTTTTGTAAGTTTCTCCTTTCTTGTGCCAAACATCCTCTTAAAAGGTAACCTACCCAAAGCTTAAGTTCACAAATTATTCTATAAATGGGCATACTCTTATTTTAGGACAAACTAGTAAATTTGTTTAGCAGTTGCAGTAATTACAGTTAAAAGTTAGACCATGAGGTGGGACAGACTGTTCTGCTTGTATCCCACTGAATAAAACCAGGCATAATTTACCTTTTTGTTTAAGTAGTAGAGTTCAACTTCTGTCACGATATCAGGGCATAAACTCAGGCTTTATGGGCATCAGGTAATTCATTTATTAGCATTGCTATGACATTAAGTATCATATGAAATACTCTAAATATTAGTTATCATAGAGCTGGGCTAGTGGAAGGTGTCCCTGCCCAGGGGATTGAAACTGGGTGGTCTTTAAGGTCCCTTGCAATGCAAACCCTTCTGGGATTCTATGATTTATTAGAATGGAATAACTGGAAGAGAGATGTAATGGTTATGCTGTATGTTATTAAAGTTATATGATATGGTGTAATTTTATACAAGCATAACAAAATTTAATTTAACAGAATACAGATTGACTTCCATGATATAGAAACCTCAGAACCTCAGACAAGATTTTGGATTTTCAACTCCCTTGGTTTAGAAGTCGAATTCATTATAAAACTTCCTTTGCTGGCCATCAAGTTGTCCTCAACATGTGTAAATAATTCCTCCTGGAACAACTTTAACCATTCTTAGCCTATTTCTGTCATTTGTAAACCTTCCTCCATGGGGTTAACAATATCAGTTTTTTAAGTCAACAGTCAGGGAACTCCTGAAAGTATGAAAGGCACTGGCCTGTGCAGGCAGCAGTTCCATGGGGACATCATTAACCTGCTGTCCTTTCTTTTCCCCTCCTCTTTGGTTTTGTTTTTTTGTTTCGTGGTAGTCTGACCCTTGGTTGTCATTGCAGAACTATGGAGGTGCCATGAGACCCCCACTCAACGCTTTAGGTGGCCCGGGGATGCCTGGGATGAACATGTAAGCACAATAATAACTCTTACACTATCTAGAAAATGTCATTATTTCGCTGTAGAAGTATCATTTGCGATAGATCAGACGAGGATAACATGCTTTGATAACTAATAAATGAAATTTTAAGAACTAGACTCACAGTCTCTCACAGGAAGCTTTGCTGTCCCAACAAGTCTGTACAAATACTCAGTTTCTTTCACAGATCAAACTTCAAATATTGGGAATATTTTGTCAGTATAATCACTGAAGAACGCTACAACTATGGCTCTTCTCTGCAAAATAAATCAGTACTTAATTTTAACAAAATAGCCATTGTCTAGAACTATTAAAAAAATACATTTGAAAGAAGAAGTGGTGATGATTCTTTTTCAATTGCTGTTTTTATTTCCATAACTACATTAATTTCCCCTCTAAACAGAAGAACTTTATAGATATGAGTATATTTTTTTCAGTTTTTCTGTGTTGTTCTGGAGCTGGATCATCATCTGGTAAAAATTTAAATAACAGAATTCAGTTAAACCGTACTGATTTATTCCAGGCATTGGTTTAGCCATGAGACTGTATTATGCCTTTTATAACTGAAGACAACCCCCCTTTCTAATTGTGTAGAAATACTTCAGATGTAAAATAAGGAAAACACAGTGATATGCTTTTTATCATTATATCAGAGACACCCATTTTTTCTCTTGTTTTTATAGAAAACATAAATAAAAAATTGTAATTTTCATTTCAAGTAGACCTGTCAACTTGAGAAAGTAAAAGAGGCATTGAGATTGATAATAACATTAAAAAAGAATGAATCTAATCCACCATATTCTTAATTTATTCTGGTTTCTAGACATGCCTTGAGTTCTTGAAGTAAAATCTAAAGTTGTGTGTTACTCCTATCATAGACATTACATGTGGGACTCAAGTAATTCTAGGAGCCTTCTCAAGGGTAGGCATTTATACTTTTAAATTAAATTGATGTAAAACAGATATTTAGATATTTGAAATTCAGTGTGAGTGTAGAATAAGCACTATAGAGGATTTCCTCAGCAGAAGTCTGAATTATAAGAAAATTAACTTCCCAAAATAAAATGTCGTAGAAGTAAAACTGAGGATAGATAAGATATTTTGAAGGTATTTGTCCACATAAATGAGAGTTTACGTAGGAAAAATAAGAAAAGAGGTTTCTGGATGACAAGAATTCCTGGCCTACCAGAAACAGAGAAGATGGATGGAAATGCTAATGTTGCAGCATTTAATAAGCACATTCCATCAAACAGTGGAGTTGCTGTGATCTGGTTTTCTTTAAATTGTATTTTCGGGACACCAGGGTTTTTCAGATTTCAGTTAACACTAAATTTCAGTGAAGACTCATTGTCTGGTCAGTTCCAGCATTCAGGATCAGAGTTCATCAAGGATGGCCCACGGGCAGTGGCAGTGGACGGACGCAGCTGTACTAAATGTGTTCTCTGTTTTATCCCTTACAATTTATCTAACGCTTAGTGCAAGAAACAACAGTGTGAGTCATTTAGGGAAATTAAATTTCCAGGAAACAGGAAAACTGCACATAAGGGCTGTTGCCTTTTAGTAACCTACAGTTGTCTTTACATACCTGTGTATTTTCTTTACATGACAATTTTTCACTGTTCTTTTAATGTTTTTGGACTTTTGGCAGTGTTAAAATCCAAAAATGTATGCCTGCAGAAAAAGCTGCTGTTTAAAAATCCAGCCTTTTCTTCTTGGAAAACTCAAAAGGAAGCTGCTTTGGTCAAGAGCAGACCATCTGCCAAATATAATTGTACATTTTTCTGGGTGAAAAAGTGTCCTTTGCTGTTGAAAATGGCAGCCTGGGGGCTCATAGACAGCATTTCAGTCCATGTACTCCACTAGTGCAGCACTCCTAAGTAATTTCTTCCTCTGTCATCAGTAATACTGTCAGATTTCTGTTTGAAACAGAAAAACCCATGTTTTTCTGCAGAATAACTTTATTTTATTTTTAAGTTTTTAAGCTAAGATTTGATGTAGCTGTTTTTAGAAAAACATCATGTCTTTGTGGGGGAAAAAAGCGCCATTTTTTGGAACAAAGAGGCAGATTTCAGGGAGCAGTGTTACATTTCACTGGTGCTTTCCTTGTGTGACCTGCAGTGCTGTCTCAAGCACTAAGAATATCTCTGTCATGCCTCAAAAAAAAAAAAAAAGTGTGATTTTGTCTTTTAACTTCAATTCACAAACTTGTGTCTGGATGTTTAATTTCTTGATGGAATATATTTGCCCCTTGGGAAACTAAAATTTCAGATTTTTATTTTTCTAAGCACCAGGATTGACAAGACAGGACAACTAAGCTGAAATTGGTCATAGTGGTAAATACTTCATTAATTATTTTGGAATTGGTACATTTATAATAATGTTTTATGACTCTGCTTCCGAAATAAACATTTACTGAAGGGCAAAAGACCTGCTTGCATTGGATTGAAAAAACTGGAGGTTGGGGTTTTTCAAGTGTGTTTTGTAAGCATTTGGCTCCACAAAATCCATATGGCTTTACAGCAGAATCTGCTGCAGTGATTTTTGTGTCTATTCTGAGACCTGGCCAATAAATTTGAAAATTCCAATGGCTTTTTAGATAAAAGGTGAGTTTCCTGGTCTAGGGGTAAATTCCTAAATTTATCTGAGTTACTTGATTGGCACAGAAACAAGTGCAGGGTTTTGAGGTGAAAACAGACTTTTAAGTGTTGTTACAAATATTCCTGATTTCTTTCTCTGAGAGGATCCAATAAACCAAATAAATGTAGGAAAAAGAACAATGGGGGGGGAATTAAAGAACAGTAATATTTCACCATCTCATGTTAGCATTGGAGAAATTGCTGAATATTTGACATGAGAAGTATTTCCTCCCAATTAATAAGGCAGAAAAGACCCTCACCAACATTCCTGATTTCCAACATTCCAACAATAATACCAGTGGAAATAAATCAGTTTTCAGTTGATTTTTTTCTTTTGAGGTAATTCCTTTATAGTTTCATCAACAGTGTAATAAAAAAAAATACGATTAAGTATTAAATCCCTCAGGCAACATAGGCACTTAATAGTTTTTATTTTTGGAAGACGTAAAAAAGGGATAGGAAACTGTATGAACTCATTAATCAGGTGTGATTTTTTTTCTCTCTGTTTAAATCACTCCCCCGTGCCTGGTGAGCTGTGGTGGTTAATGTTGCTTTTCTACAGCTAATGAGGCCAAAATGCCATTTTAAATGTGGAAGTTTTGTCATCTGCTCTGTTGTCACGGCCTTCAAGAAGTGATTCTGTCTTGTTTATAAATAACGAGAAGCTCCTAATGCTCCCAGTAATAATTATGGTTCCTGTGACTGTAAATATGGAGATTTTACCTCTTGTGTGGCTTTAGTTCCCTCAGGATTGTTGAGAGATGAAGGCTCACTGCCAAACTATTTTTCTGAGCTCAGCTGAGAGTGAGAAACTTATAAAAACAGCAAGAATTGTGAGAAAAACATTCTCAATCTGAAGAGTTTTCTGGTTTTAATAAATAAAATTTATTATTGTTGTGGTGATTATTATCATTATTACTGGGTAATTTTTTTTGTTGTTTTTACCATCATCATCATCTAGGGGCTATACCAACATATTTTTCATGGCCTGTTCTTTTATAAATTAGGTGTTCTCAAAACATGTCTCATATAGCATAATTTTATATTTTATTTTTATTTTATATTTATTTACATTTAATGTATATATTTATTTTTAGTGTTACTTATTGCTATTTCTATTTATTTTATAATATATATTATATATAATATATAATAATGTAATTTTCTCTTTTATGTAGCATATTAATAGCATAATTTCTGCTGGTAAAACCTTACTATATTGCAATATTCTAGATCCATAATGAATTGCCTGCATCCTCAGTTCTTTAGGAAGGGGGCTTAATTATGTGAGCAAGATCACTTGTTTTATGACTGAAAGTTTATTTATTTTATGACTAATATTTATTAATTTCACAGTAAATAAATTAATCAACTCACCAAATGGTTAAATGGCAGTGCAACAATGAGAATTCTGCTCTAGCATTTTAACTTGGTGTAGTCATGGTTTATAAACTCACTTTAGTTTGAAAAAAGCAACCTTCTTCCTTCCCTGGAGATAGATAATTTAGATTTTGTTCCCCAGAGGTGGTCAGAGGATGGGGATGGTTCTGTGTCTCATCATTCATCTTCTGTTACAGGGGTCCTGGGGGTGGCAGACCATGGCCAAACCCAACCAATGCTAATTCTGTAAGTAAATATTAAACATATATTTGACATCTTGTATTTGGGGAAGTATCCTTACATCAAGTCCAGCACTTCCATAGCATAAAGGTTATCCTGGGATCCCACATGAGCAACAGTGGCTGGTATTTCTTCAGAAAACACAAAGTTTTCATTGTCATTCAGGGATCACACATCATTAGTTTAAAAATGTCCTTTTTTGGCATTTGCACAAGGGATAATGTGGGTCTGGCTTTTCCTGTTATACAGTTCTTTCTGTTTTCTCAGTTTTGGTATTTTAATTCTAGTAATGACAATTGGGGAGGGGGAGAGTTGAAACTCTTCCTCAGTTTTCTTTTGCATGTAGGTACCTGATTAAAATGGGTATTTTTCAACTGATAGTTGAAATATGTTCATTCTCTGAAATTAATTGAGTAGTCCAGTAATAGGTGTATTCGTAACAATCAGTGAATTGACAAGTTGTCTGTCAAGAAATTTGTATTTGTCAGCACAGTTGCTTCTCCTGCATCAGCACTGGCTGGAGTTACTTTGGAGAGAATAATTGCAAAGGCTGTCATAAAGAAGAAAATCAGATTATTCACAGGATTTCTCCAGATACCCTCTTTAACAAACACCACACTTGAATTTGAAATGAAAACTGCCCTTGGGGAAAAAAAAACCATAATGCAAAGAAATAGAGGTGTCTTCTGGGTTGAAAAATAAGATAGTTTTCTTTCCTTTTATGGTTAAGATTTTAATCAAAATTATGTATCTGTAAGAATGTACCAATTCATTTCATGCTTGGATGGCTCTGAAGTCCTGTGGACTGAAATGCAAGTATGTGCTGCTGAAGCTTATAAATCTTATAAAGTATATTGCCTTAATAATATTAAACCTTTTGATATTTTAATATTTTTATAATTAATATTTTAATAGTGCTGAAAAGATGTTTATTTTCATGACAGAGTAATTTTTCCCATAATTTTAACTGTGTGTTTTAATTACCCTAATTAAAAAAATAAGCATTAACCTGCAGCTGCAGGGACTCTCATGTTACTGCAGAGGAAATCAGTGTTTTGTCTCTGTTGATATTACAGATACCTTATTCTTCAGCATCTCCTGGGAACTATGTAGTAAGTACATTTGTGTGTGTTTGTTTGTTTGACATCACATTTTATTTAAGCAAAAAAACCCAGTCCAGATGTTGAGAGGAGCCCCCGTGTATTGGTTGGGAGCGGCACATCTGATCTGCACCAAGGTGTTTTTTCAGCCATTCCTGGTACAGATGTGGGTGTTCTTCAGTAGGACCATTATCAGTCTGGTCAGAATTGCCCTCAGTGCTTTTTGACTCCACTAAACATTTTTATAACTAATACAAATGTATTGTCTGCAGTAATAATGGGCAAAAAACCCTCTCAGCTTTCTGGGTAACACAGTGTTTTGTCTGAGCTTCTGAACTTCTCCAGGAAAAAAATATTTACATGTAGCACTGGTTTTTGTCTCTGCCCCCAGAGATTAACTTTATTTATTGTTTTAGGCTCTTCATTGTTGTAGTTATTGTTGTACTCGGATTATTTGTGTGTCTGATGAACTTTCTAAGGTAGATTGTGTGGACTGTTTTTATCACATGTGTAGAACTAGTGTCACAGGGTAATAGGAGAGAATTACATATTTAAAAGCAATTTATTTTGTCCTCTATTTATGCAGTTAGCTGTGGAAAAGGTTATGATTCTCACAAGTGTCCATAACTGTGGTCCTCCTTTTGCCACATGTTTAGAAGAAACAGCCCAAACCTGCTGATCTCCAAACCAGTTCCTTTAACTCAGAACTTCACAGATTTCTTTCTGTGTGGAAGAGGTTTGTGGGTTTGCTCTCAGCATTTGTGACCAGTTATTGCTGGAGAATTTAAAAGTATTTTGGGAATATTTGGCTTCATAGAAAGCAAGTGTTCGGGGATGAGGGAAGGCCAGAGAGCTCCTAAAAGAAGGCTTTTTGTCTAAGGATTTGTGATCTGGAACTACACACTTTGAGAACTTCATAGGAATAATCTATGTATAATATATTAATATATATGCACTTCTAGAAATATATAAGTATATATAAATGCACAAATATAGAAAATATACAAATATAAATATACTCTCAACATGAAAATAGTTGATACCAGAAGGGTTTGTAAGAGAAGAAAATAAACAAACAATGAAAGTAAATGCAAATTTACAATTAGGGGCAAAAGTTAATGAAGACAAATAACTTTTCTGATAAATGGTCAGTTAATGGTTTCTGCATCTCTTTATGTGATGTTGAAAAATACATAGAAAGAGAGACATTAAAAATCAAGTTAGTGAGATTTAGTGCACAGATATATGGATAAAAAGTACATGGATAGTCTTTCATGCCTAGATATGGATAAAATATGGATATGTTTATATGGATAAAAGCTTACGGATAAAAAGTATATGGATAGATACCCTGTAAGCAGACAGGAACAACCAAACCCTTTTATTTGCTGTCACTGAAAAAAAAATATTCCTGTCTGAAGTAGTATATCTACTGGTTTGAATTATAACAAAAGATAGAAAGTAATAGTCACATGGCAATGGAAAAATAATGTATTACTAGCAATCCGACTGTTTTTTATTACGGAAAGTCAGTATTTAACTTTTATTGACATAGACATTTTTGCCACAGTGGAAGTTGGTAGTTTTTCATGTTACTTAAAGATATTAGGGGCTCTGCAAACATAGGAAACAAAACATTATGGTTCTGTTCTTACTAAATGATTAGGACTATTAGAATAGAATTCCTAGAGAAATTCTGTAAGAATTCTAAAACTCCTGTTTAACAACCAGAGTGGTTTGTGTTCTTAGTCCTGAACAGATTTGTGACCCAGAAATACCTGAAACTCTAAAAAATCAGGTGTTCCTTGATGGTTTTTTTATGTTTGGGGATTTTTTTTAATCTTTCATTTCATGCTAAGTGACATTTTTTCCTGTCTCCAGGGTCCCCCAGGAGGTGGAGGGCCACCAGGAACACCCATCATGCCTAGTCCTGCAGGTACTGAAATGTACTTGGAAATTATAAAATCATAATGGATTTTAGGAAGCACACAAATTATATTTTTTAATAAAGTGTCAGATAATAAATTATTTGATTTATATTTTCTGCATCAGGTTTTTCTTCCCCTACTTGCTGTCATCTGCAGCACTGGAGGGCAGGGAACTTTCCTAACGCACCATAATATTATTTTCATTAAATACAATTCCATAGATTTTTGGTTTTTTTAAAAAAGCAACCTAAGGTAAAGATGTTTTGAAAGTTCTATTTTCCAAAGTGTGAAAACACTTAGGAATTTGCCACCCACAAATTTTGCCAAAGTGTTTACTCTCCCCTGAGACAAACAATTCAAGGATTCCCGCAGCCCAACCATCCATCCCTTGTGTATTTTTCATGAGCTAGCAGGACATGGGCAGAGCCAGGGATGTATCTTGGATAAAGAACTTTTTGCCTACCTTACTGAATATTAAAAATAACTTAAAATGCTGATTTTACTTTAGGCTGAAAGCCTTTTGTGTCCCCCTTTTCTTTGGACAGCATGTTTGAATGTTCTAGTGATATATAGTGCTCTGTGTATAACTCAATTATTTATTTTAATTAACACTTAGAGAGGCATTTGAGGAAGATGAAGCTGTAGACAAAAGCCTTGATTTAACTTCCTTGTGTACACAGAAATGCATTGGATGTGGAATGGCCTTGTGCAGGGTCTGGGTACAGAGTGCTGAGCTCTCTTTATTCTCTTTGCAGAAAAAAATTATTTTCCAGGGTTGCCAATATTTTCTGTTAAATCATGCTGTACCTTTAGGGATGCATTTAGACTTTCCTTATGTTTTCAACATTTTTTTTGGGGGGGGGGGGTTGAAGCATTGCACCATGCTATACCATGAAGATCCATCAGACAAAGCCTCCCTCAAAAGTGGGGATTGTTGCACAGTGTCCCACTGAGGAGCTGGATATACCCAAAATCAAATAGACTGACAGGCATGAGAGTAAAAAACTTTCACTAACTCACAGTCTGTATAAGGAAAAGTTGTTTTATCTTTTCTTACAGATGGAAAACAAATTGCAGGAAGCATTGATCAGAAACAAACTCCTGTTTTATAGAGACTATTGAAGATGAGTGAAGTAATTTAGGACTCCAGGAAACATCAATATGGAATTAAATAGTTACAGATACTTGGTGATTTATAAACCTTTTAACAGTCATACATAAAAACCAGAGACCAGAGGTAGCTACTGAGGGACCATGGCAATTTTTTCTTTTCATAGCTCTGTTGTGTGGCAGCAACAGGTAGAAAGGGAATAAAATCTTCCATTATCTTGCCACTGTGTATCAGGGATCCAGGCACAGAAATGACAGGAAATGTATTAGGTGAGTAGTTTTATTGAAAAGTGTATATTAGCGCTTAAAATAATATCTTATTACAGATTCAACCAACTCTGGAGACAACATGTACACTTTAATGAATGCTGTACCTCCTGGACCCAACAGACCTAATGTAAATATGAATTTAGCTATATGTTTCTTTGAATTATGCAGCCTTTTGTGTATCCAAATATTGCATTTCCATCAGGTAACATTATTGCTAATTTTTCCATTCTTATGGGTGGCCCTTCAGTTGTGGGCCTTTGGGAAAAAATCACCAGTGGAACTTAAGAATAATTATCTATAAATACTGATAAATCATTATGCAGTAAATAGTAGATTGTTTTTGCCATAATGTTAATGTCTTTAATTTTGTGAAGAGGTAAATTTAAGATGAATATATGAAATTGGACAGAAACTACTCTAGTTGCAAAGGTAATGTGGAGCAGTCAGGGTTTGAAAGCTGGTAATTAATGACTTAAATTAATAATTTAAGGGAGTAATAAAGTTCCCTGTAACTTCAATGGGAGCAGGGCTGGGTCAGCACCAGCAGGTTGGAAAGTCATACATATAGTGTTTAAGTAAATAATAAATTATTCCTAAGTTATAGACCAGCCTACAGAGATGACAGTCTCCAAAAATCATTAAAGTGACCAATAGCAAAGATGGTTTTCTGTCTTCACGTGGAAGACCTTCTCTTAAAGGTCTGAATGGAACTTGAGAGTCCCTTCTCATTCAGAGCTGGGACTGTGAATTTTTCCTTTACTGTTTTTATTTTTCCTCTTGAGGAATATTTTCTCTTTATTAGGTTGTCTAAAAAATATTTGTACAGTTTTTAATGTCTGTTGCTTTTGTAGTTTCCCCTGGGACCAGGGTCAGATGGGCCGATGAGTGGACTGGGTGGAATGGATTCACATCATATGAATGGATCATTAGGTAATGACAGTAACTATTGACAACATGGTGAATTGTCAACGGCAGTGCTATTTTCTGTGACTGGTTCTTGGAGTTCTGTGGATGAAAGCGTGTAAAAATCTCCTGAAAACTGGAAAAGCTGAAACAAAAGGAGAAATTTAAAGACGAGGAAAAAAAAGCTGTCACCTCCCTTAGCACTAGACTTTTTCGGAACAGTTAAAATTCAGCAGTACACACCTATTGCTAATAAAATTACATTTTTTTAAAAGAAAGAATGTCTGTGAAATTTTAGATTACTTTGCAGCCTCTATTTACCTATTTCAATACTAAAATGGATTCTTGGTTTAATTAATATTGATGCACATTGCATTCAGATCAATGAAAACCTGTGTAAAAGGCAGCCACACCTTTTTTCTGTCACTTTCTAAGCCTAATTTCTTAGCTAAAATGAAAAATTAAATTGAAACAGTTGTGGAAGGATTTTACATATACCTGCCATGCGCTTAATTATTTTCTTGGGCCTCTCCAGCTTTTTTGACCAAAACCCTTCTGTTGGATATCTGTTCACAGCTCTTGATGATGAGAAAGAAATATTTTCCCTATTTCCACCAAAAATTATCCTTTGGACTGTGAGAAAATAACTCTTGGTAACATCTATGTATATGGTGTTTTTATAGAGAGGAGGAATCATATTCCTTCTCAGCCTTGATTTGCCTGACTGTATCAAATAGTGAGCTATTTCAGTCTTCTCCCACAGCTCCATTTTTGGTCCTTTTCCTGGTATACTCTTCTAGTTTTGCATTCAGTACTCTTCCAGAATTTGTACTTCCTGAAAATAGGTGTCTTTTGCTGCTAAAATAAGCTTTTCTTGCTACATCCATCCTAAAGTTGCATTTCCTTTATTCTTGGCTTTACCTGACAGCTACAGCATGTGAAAAAATTAATAGTCTCATACTGATTATGTTTAATTTCATTTGGTTTCTGTTACTCAAGTTTTCAGGATCATCTGGTTTTTTTCTAAGAGATACTGTTATCAGTATGTGTAATGCAGCAAAAGTTGATGTAACCTCAAATTAATTGATTGAATTGATTATACTGACTATAAACTTTTCCTGAGTTGGTTATGGTTTAAAATATTTTTGATACACTATATATTTTCTATGAAAAAAGTATAGGATTAACTTCAGTTCAAAACTGATTAATTGTCTGTTTTAATTTAAGGCTCAGGAGACATGGACAGTATTTCCAAAGTGAGTATCTGATCAAATATTTAGAATTTTTAGAGTGTTCCACTCTAAACTATTTTCCCTTGTCTCTGTTATGAAGCTCTTTGTTATGCATCTTTATTTTATTATATCTATATTATGTATAATTGTACCCAGTCCATAAACTGATTTATCATGTTGTAGTTTTCAATACTATTAAGATAAATGGAAACAGTTCTGATAATCAACTTCAGTTAACTGTAAATTTGGGACAGTGTCTTCAGGATATTGCAGGATTGCTTTTGCCACCTCTGTAAGGTAGTGTTAATATCCTAATCATTAGTTTAAATATCCTAATCATTAGGTTTACTTCCCAAAAGCTGGATTTAGAAGTAGTTTTAGGAGAAGCACTCTTTTGCTATCACGACCATTAGTTAGAAATGGATGTAAGTTTAACCTGCAGGGGTTTTGCATCTACAAAAATAATGCTGTGATTGTGTGCATCACTTCTATAAAAATAAAACTGCTCCATATATGATCATCATTAACTTGGGAATTAATGAACTTTTTTGGTAAACTGTCATAAATAACAAGGACCCTGTATTCTTATATTTTGTAACATCTTCAGGCTCTGCAGAAAGTTAAGTGATGGATGAAAATGACTACATTGCCCCAGTTGTGCTGTGCTGGGCCATGCAGTGATGGGTTCAGTAAAATCCGCCACTGATATAATCACCATAGAGCACCTTTTTAATTAATGTCTGTGGTTTTTTTCAGTATTTTATTGCAAACTGCAGCATTTTTTAAGGAAAAAAAAAAGCCCAAGCATTTCATTTTCCATGAGATAATTTTTAAAGCCAGTATTCAACTCAGAGGCATTAAGTATGTGCTAATACGAGTGGCAGGAGCTCTGAAAATTTGGGTACAAAAATTTACCTGTAAGTCTTATAATGTGTTAAGCTTAATGAATAACTCACAGGAATTACATTTGCTTTATGTCTTCTTCAAATAACTGAAAGAAAAATGCTGCTAATTTCAGGTGTAGAGAGTTGCCCATAGAAAATTAATTCACTCAGTATCAGTACAGCTCACAGAATCCAGAGTTTTCTGCAGAAGATTTTGATTTAACTGGCTGAATTGCAGAGCATAAAGTTTTTATGAAGTAGATTGGGGAGGATGGGAATAAATTAACTGAAATTATGCATATGAAATAAACATTGGTCACCAGTGTTTATTGCAATGCCCATGGAATTTGTGCAGGCATCAAGGACACACTTCGCTTGGAAAAGCCCAGTTCGTGCTCCATTGCTGGACCCCAACTGGCCATAAAAGCAGCCTGGAGTCACTATAAAAGGGATTTTGTCAGGAATTTGACCCTTTGGGGCTGGTGTGCTCTAGTAGTGGCAGAATTTCAAAGCTTAGTGCCACACAGAGCAAGATAAAATAGGGGCAAATCTCCCAGGAATGAGCAAAAGTGCAGGAGCATTACTAAAATAAGTGTGACAAGGCTTTAGTGGGTTTTAAACTTTATATTCATGGATTGTAAGGCTAGAGGGACTGACTTGGTTGTGTAGTATGACCTCCTACATCACACAGGCAACAGGGCTTCCCTGAATTAATTCCTGCCTAAGGTACAGTAACTGTGGTTGAGCTAAAGCAATAGATATCAGCGGTTTTGATCTGTATGTCCTATATCCTTGATCATATTTCCTATATACTGGCTTCGCTGAATAGCAGACTTAATTGTCTGATGTTAATAAACTCATTAAGCTTTTAATTGTCATGTATGTAATTAATTTTGTATTTATATTGATATTGCATCCAAGTTTTTCTGGGTTAAAAAAAAAGCCAAGGGAAGAACTATGATATATGTAAGCACTTGATCATGAAGTTCATGACTTCACTCCTCCCTTTCTCTGACTTCTCTTTTTCCATCATGAGTCTTTAATAGGGATGGAAAGGGAATTGTCTGTGCCCCAGGCATGGTAGGGAACTGCAAATCAGCTTTGTAAAGGCACCTGACTAATTGTAGTGTGTGCAATATGTGAGCTGTTGACTCAGAATAATTTCTCTGACAATTACCTTGTTTCACCCATTCTCTTCCTGAACGTTGGAGCGGTAGTTGTGCACTTCTGTAAGGAAAAAAAATTATTTTCAGGAGGTTTTAGGTTGTTACTATTTCAGTAAATTATGACCACGGTGAGCAAAGACTCCAGGGACAGGCCCTTGAAGAGGTCTGTGCAGACCAGATCCATCCTATGTCTTCCTCTAAGTACCTATTTCATAATTCACATATGGCAAGGCACACACTCACAGACATGGCTGCATTTAACCACATGATTTAATGTTGTGGCAGAACTTTCTCATACACCTGCTGCAGCCTTTTATAGATTTTCCTGACTTCAGCAGAAGCGGATGCTGGCTATGACCTGAAAACAAAAGTTACAGGTAAACAATCCTTGCTTCAGGGAAGAAAACGTTACTTTACAGGCTAAAATTAGTGAGTGAATCATGCAGAACCCTGCAGGGGCTGATTTTTCGTCCTTGAAAACACCATTGCACCACAGTGCTGAGCGAAACATGCGTTTGGCACACGTGGTGAGGCTGAGAATTGAACTGTAATTTTCAACACTTATTCTTATTTAACAGAACTCTCCCAGTAATATGAGCATGAGCAACCAGCCTGGCACTCCCAGAGATGACAGTGAGATGGGTGGAAACTTCCTAAACCCTTTCCAGAGTGAGAGCGTAAGTATTTAATTACATTGGTTGGTGGCTTGTTTTACTTTGTGAACCTTTATTTCTGACTTTTTGTTTTAAAAAAACAAAAACTACAAGTTTTGTAGTGTGCTTGTAGTGCATGTCTTTTAATAGCTTCTATATTTGAATAAAAAAGCAAAAGCTGGGAGGTGTAGGTTTGCTGCAGACACGATTTTTCTGGGTTAAGAGGTCAGTTGTCAGTGAAAGAGCAGGGTTTACACTGAAGTATGTGATTAGAGCATCAGTAGATTCCGTGTTGCAAATATGCCATGTGCTATTAGAGCCATAAAAGGCAAAGGTTCCCTCTAGCGTTCATTCTGGGTCAAATTATGCTTTTTTTTTTTTTTAAATGAATAATGCTTGAGGCAGCAAAATGTGGTGTAAAATACATTACAGAGCAAGACTGTGGTATTTCCATACTCATGTGCCTGAAGTTGGGTTTCTAAATCCACGTTTAGGTCCCTAAATAGGAGTGTAACTTCATTAACTACTAAGTGGTGACCTGCAGCTCAGGAATTACGGCAAGTAAACAGTTTTGTTAGATCTCAACACAGTTGAACTCCACGGCAAATTTCATGGGAATCAGATTTTGAGGGTTTTTTTGGGGTTTTCTTCTTTCACTAGTGAAAAGGAAGTTTCTGCATGTTAGCTGTTGGTGGGCACACACTCAGGTTGTGTGGAGTGTTAGAGAAAATTGTCTTGTATAACCCAAAAAGACTGATGTTTCAGTGTCTGCCAAAACCACAGAGCCTCCATTAAACGTGATCCCCATTCATGGCAGCCCCTGACTCTCAGTTTGGCTGAGGGCACGGAGGCCAGGTCACCAAAACATGGGTCATGGGAAGAAGAGGACATCAGTTGTATTCCAGAGAAAATCAGTGTTTTCAGACACTTACTGGATTCTAGGTGCTCCTGGATGCTGTTTTCCTGCCTGGAGGAACCAGAGACCCAGTTTTCTCAAGGTTTTATTGAGTTGTGTGCCTACAAGGCTTCTGTTACACATCCCAGGTACATTCTAGTCTGCTCCAGGTACCGGTTCCTCTCCAACACGGGTCACGCTGTTGTCCTTGAGAACTGCCTTCTTTCTGATTCATATTTTCCCACCTGGCTACTCAGAAAAGGCATTATTATAAAGTCCTTTCTCAGGCAGATTGTCTGTTCAGTTCACTAGGAGTTTTGGTTGGGGTGGGAAAAGGTGCTTGGCTAATAACAAGTTAAAAATCATAAACACCTAGAGACTGTCAACTGATTCCTTGTCCAAAGTATTTCCCCACTTGAGCAGGTGCTTTGCTTTAAGCCTTCTGAGCTGGAGTTCATTCTGTGTAGCTCAGATGACACGGAAGACCCATTCAAAATGCTTTTTTATAAGCTTGGACACTTGGAAATGGTCAGCTTGGAGCTCAAGCCTTGGCAGGATATTTATGGCATACCTGGTTTTACAAAGGCAGCTGTTTTTCTATTTTCAAAATGCTGATACTTCTTGAACACCTACCTCTACTTAGAGGATTTTAGGCCAAATTAAGTGCTTTTGCAGTCCATAGCTTTCAATTTAAAAACAAATTAGGTGTGTAGATGTGCAGTTTTTCTAGGCATTGTGGTGTCCTTTTGATTATTTTAATGAAATACTGCTAACCTGAGGGCAGCTGTAGCTTGTGTGAGGGCTGCAGTTTAAGTTGTGTCACTGTAATAGTGTGACTGCGTGGCGATTGAATTTTTGGTTCACACCAAGGAGAGTGGCCACTGGTCCCTGAGTCACCATGGAATGACCACTAGTCTCTGATGCAGCTTGCCTCCTGAAACTGGTAACACAAAATAATACAGACTAAAAGCCTAATTTAATCATAGTCATACATATCTTTACTCCTTTCTTTCCACAAGGTAATAAAAAGCTCCCCAAAATATTTCTGTGGTTCAGCTAACCATGAATGCAGCCAGTCTGCCCAGCTAAATTCCCCCAGTAGCCAACACGGGCCAGGAAGGGGCGTGGAAAGTGATGTTTTGGTTCATCACATCACCCAGTTAACACCAAAACAGCCTCCAAGGGAGTTGCCTTTATCAGCAATAGCTGTATTTGTACATGAGAGAAGCACAACGGTAGTTACGATGCCACAAACTGAACTACAGCCTTAGCAAAGGCTGCAGCCACAAATTGAGGAGGAAGCTCAAGGAGTATGTTGACCTCTGAATCCATTGCTGTGGTGCAGACATGGTTTTGGTTCCCTGGGGTGGGGGAGAAGAGGTTGTTAAAATGTGGATTGCTCTCTTTGCAGTACTCCCCTAGCATGACAATGAGTGTGTGACCCGCTCACCAGTGTCACCACGAAGACCACAGTGAGTTGGCCCTCTCCAGAGAGCTACTGCAGAAGAAAATTGCTCGTCCCAGTGTACAGTTTAACTAAAGGATCTCAGACACAATCAGACCCACCTGGTTTGTTTTTCTTTTCCTACCATCTCCCCCATTTTGTCAAGGAAGGGGGTCCCATGCTTGAGACAACTGTAAAGAGTGCTGTGACAGACCTGTCCGAGGTGGAACTGCAAGACTGTCTATGTGTGACATGTGTGGGTCAATGTTGTGTGTGTGTGTGTGACACAGAAACACACACGCACATCCAGACACCCACAGGACATTGTAAAATAGTATCACATCACATCTTAAGTAGAAATGAGAAGTAGGGACTTCTATTCCATTTTTTTTTTCACGTTTACATTTTAATTATTAAAATTTGCTTTCCTTGTTCCCTCTTGAACTGTTCTACATTGCATATATCACTGCTTTATAAGTTATTTTTTAAGTTGAACTCAAATGATAAATTCTTTTGATTTTGTTAATGTCTGCCATTATGGATAGGAATAAAATTGCTTATAAGAGCTTTCATTAACTTGTGTTTGATACCAGCTACCCTGTGAATCACAAATTGTACTGTCTCAAGAAATAGAAGAAAGCTCATCTTAATTTTTTTGAGAAATTTGATAACTTTCACATAGTTTGGGGATTTTTTTTTTAATACTTTGCCTTTAAAAAGAAAAGAAGCACTGAAGGTTATTTTTCTTCTTTAATTGAAGCCTAATATCTGCAATATCTATTTTAAATGGAAGCCTGAATTTGATACAAGCTTCTCAGTTTATATAGAGTACTATAAGGTTACTGTAAGTGAGCTCCAATTGCTTTAGAATCTAGCAATAAAGAACAGGGCTTCCCCCTGCCCTTGGAAATGAGTTTTCTATTTAGCATGGTCTTCTCTAGGGGTGGTAGTTAGTGAAAATACAGTAGAGTCCTTATCACCAAAACACTTTCTAACAACTTACAATTATATTTCCCGTTTTCAGTGATTCTCAAATGCATAGTAACAGTTCATGGTCCTAATTATAAACAGTGTTTCACAAGCCCATTCTGTGAATCAGGTCACCATGCTGCTGCTTGGGTGTGTGTTTTCTACCATGTCTGCCAGAATTAATTCCCCCAAAACTTTCCAGTCAGCAGCCTTTTTTGAGCCAAAATGTTGCAGTACAAAAGGTCTTACCTTTTGCCATGAACAGAAGAGGAACAAAGCTCTGGGCCATTTTAAGAGTGGAACAACCTGTTAGGTGTGAAAGCTGGGAACAGAAGGTTGAAAAGGTCCTAAAAGAAATGCTTCTGGAAGCCGTCCCATATCTCCTGAGGCAGAGCTCTGAAACCAAGATTATGGTACATTTATTTAGTTCCTAGTGATTCACAGTTCCCCCAAGAAAACAGAGGTTTTGAGTTTGTAGTGATCAACAGGCTGATGATCAGCAATGTGGGCACAAAGTGGCTCAGCAGAAATTCAGGCCACAGACAAAAAGCAGATTTCCCTCCTTGGACTTACAGATCAGTTCTGGGGTGTGGTATGTCCATGTGCAAGGGGATTTTTTTCATGAATTGTGATAAAGGAGCATATGGGATGGGCTTGTTGTGATGGCAGCTGCACGTACTGGGATGTGTAAGGAATACTACAATCTCCTAACTCATTTTTATTTCCATTTATTATATGTGTATATCATATATGGAAATAAAAAAGATTTAACACTTCACTCTCTTGTTAGGGCTATTCATGCTCAGAGGCTTAAAATTATGTTAAAGTATCAAAGATTTTGGTAGCATTACCTTTTAGTAGTAAGAACTACTTTGATTAGTTGTAAACATCAACTATATAGTCATTATATGGTTTTGTAGACTGTATTCCCAGTGATTATGAAGGTCACATTCATCTGTTTCTGTTTGGATAACACTTTGTTGCTGTCTCCAAAGATGGAGACACTATTGACTTGAGTTACAAACACAAAATCAGGTGTTAATTTCCTCAGACCCTTTGCTGTTGTCACTCACACCACTGGTGTGTTCCCAGAGTCCAGGTGTCCTTGCAGCCTGTGTTGACACCTGTATTATCTGTGGTAGCCTTCCAGGAAGGACCTGGGGACTCTTTTCTGCCCAGTTCCAGTCAGGTGATGTCACTGGCTCCTGGACTGAGGTAGATGGGGGCTGTGAATCAAGTGTCAAAGCCTGTTCGCACCCCAGGTAAGTGTCCTGTTGGGCACTTTTGCAGGATAGAAGTCTGGCCACCAAAGCTGTCAAGGAAGCCCCTTAAATGGAATCGCCAACATATACTGGATATTGCTATGAAAATATGTTATCCTCATTTTAATATATGAGTAAAGCGTCCTTTCAGGCACCTGATTTACTTGGTGTGTCCAACGTTTCTCATACCCACATAGCCCCACCGACAGCAGCTGATTTTTTTTTTTGTAATATGCACTGGGCTTTTTGCTTGTTCATTTTTGTTTCTTTTGCTTACAAATCCTTGTAGGATTTTCATCATACCTTGAGTATCGGTGTGGAAAGAAAGACTATTCCCAAGCTCCCAATTCTGGGAGCAATTTTATTTTAAGTAGTGCAGGATAGGTTTTTTCCTCTGGGCTTTTAGATAGATTTTGCTCTTTAATATAGAAATAGATAATGGTGAATCTTTAAATGGGTCTTTCAGACAAGGTTTTTAAAAACAGAAGTGATTAAATCTTAGAGTAGCAAAAATAGGGAGTAGGACATCTTTCATACTGTGAGAACTCTGGCAAGTCTTCTGGCCTTGTAGAAATCAGCTGAAATTGGAATTCACTTCTGAACTTCACAGTGAAACCAGTATTTAACGTGCTGCATAAAGCTGTGAAAATGAGTATTCTTACCCAGATTTATCTGCACATCACCCAGATTTTATCACCGTGTCCAAGCCCTGGCAAGAACAGGGCTTGGGGCAAGGAAGAAGCTGTCTGAATCACAGGTAAATCACATGGCCTGACATGTGGATCAAGAAAATACCCAGGTATTTGCATGTATGCATTGAGTTATTAATCGCCTGAGCAAGAGGAAGACCTGCAGTTGCACTCCAAAAAAAGTGCCATTTTTTATTTTGTTGCAGAGCCCTAGTAAGTTCAGTGTTGAACTTTTTATTCCTTTTTTCTCCCCTTACCAGTCAAAATGACTTTTCAGCTGATACGTTACACCTAATTTCTATTTCTCATATCAGTTAATTATTTTTGTGTGTTTCCTCCTGTTCCTGGTCAGCCCTGATTTGTTGTTATGATGGCTAAATATGGATTGGATTCTTCAATATTTGACCCTACACATTCGCATTTCGATAATGTAAAATATAGCTTAATGATGTAAAAAATACAGGTAAATTTACTTTTCTTTAATTCACTGTAAGTGATGATATAACTGTGGCTCCTGTCCCGCTTGGACCTTAAGGATGGGAATCCTGACAAAGTACAGTTCTCAAATAAACCCCCCAAAATTATTTCAATAGTGACATCTCACACTAAGGATCTAATTCAGGATTTAATGATCCAAAACAACTATAAAAATTAAAAGACAGATGACAGATTTAGATTTGACTCTATGCAGCTCTCTCTGCTTTCTAGTTATTACTGGCACAGTCCTACAGGCTGCTGCTTGTGCCAGTTCTCCTGCTGAAACTTGGATGAAACCACTCACATAAGGTCATTTTTTGGGTAGGACTTCACCCTGATCTGGGTCAAATTTGTAACTTACCTAAGGTGTGACATTATTTGGTAGATGTGTAAACTGAGTACTTAGAACAAAATACAGAGGGTCCATTGAAATTACCGAAATAATGTTTCAACCTGAAAAATAAGAAAAAAGTATTTAAAATACCGCTTTGAGCGCATGCTTGCATATTGTCTATATATTGGGAACAAATTACCAAATTTAGAGATAAAAATGGATCATCTTATTCAGCACATTAAAACTCTGGTCTTTCCATTGAGTTGGCCTTGGTTTGAAATTAAGCCTGTACATTGTTGATTTTAAACAGATTTAAGAATACAGGAAATTTCCTTCAGGAAATTAGGAAAGTAGGACCGTGCTTTTGAGCATGGATGGTCTTTCCTAAGCAGACATTATTTTAAAGTTATCACCAGTGCAGGAGCATTTATGTATCAATAGTACTGACATGAGGAGCAGATTTGGCTTTCTTCTGTTTCTTACTTTATTAGAGCTTTGTTCACTACTACATCGACTATTTTTGTGAATTTGTCCTTCCACCTTGTTTTAAATCGTGCAGCCATAGTTACCCCAACACAGCCAACAGCTTTGCAGTTTTAGTCCAAACTTCTGTTTGGTCGCTGTTCTTCATTTAAGCTTGAAGTGTGTAAGAAAGCCTCTCATGTAATGGGAAAACTTGCCATAAAAATGTATAAAGGTTTTCTTGGGTACATGTTTTCACATTTAATAAAAACGCAGTTTTTGGTTATAATTTGAAGTGGTCAGTTTCTAACCACTATTTAATTTTTGCGTGCAGAAGAAATTGAGAGAGAAAAAAAATCACTTTTTGAGTTTTTGTTTTGCTTTGGTTTGATTTTTTTTTTGTATTTGTTTGAATTCAGTGTCATAAATGTTTGCTGATGATGTGGTTTTTGGGAGAAATCAGATCAAAACCACATTTGCTGCCTAGTTGTAAGTAGTACAGGTGGACTTGGTGTTGAAAGCTCCTGCCACATCCCCAAAAGCATATCTCTTGATTTCTGATTTGTGTGGCTTTGTATGAGCCTAATTCACAGGCAGTGATTTAATTTGTCTGTCCAGTGCTTTCAGTGTGTCTCATGGGAGGTCCAGGGTTCTGTGGTCTCAGGAGAGTGACCGAGTGGTCGAGCAAGCTTGTTCCCAGGGTCAGGGTGTTCAGGACCCGGGGATAATCCACCAGAAACAAGGTGTTTGTTCGCTACCTCGCTGTTCTCTTGAGAACTTGCACAACTCTTCTTGCCAGTAGGTTCTGGGGATCCTTTAAGATTTTACATTGCTGAGACAAGAAGCTTCCTTTTGCTAAGAGAAAATCCTGGCAGTTTTTAGCAACAATTTTCGTACGGAAACAGCTCAAAACATGGGTATTTGGAAAGGTGATGTGTTTTCTCAGTACCCTGAGTGTGCTAGGAAATAGATTGTACAATTTAGGAGTTTGGGCTGTTACAGAGATACTGAAATCATCAGTAATTGCTTTTGATGGGAAAAATCACTGGCTGTGGAACAACTGCTCTGATCCTTGAGGAGTCAAACTGTCAACTGGGTGAACTGGATGTTTTAGGGTTTTTTTCCTGTTGTTTAATCTTCATGTTTATCCTCTCTCATTTGGATTTTCCCGTTAAATGTACTGTGCCAGATCTTTGCACAAAAATAAGAGCATTTTGCCCAATAAACCTGCAGAAAGTTGTTCACATCTGTAATTACAGCCCTGCTGTAGAGAGTTTATTTCATTATAGAGACTTTTGAGCATAAGAACAGATAAGGAGTGGCAGTGCAGCATCCTGACAGCTCTCACTGCTCCAGATCAGGAATGCTAGCATCCCACAGACTCCCAAATTAGGTGAGATGGCTCCTAACAATGACATAAAATAGCTTGAAATAAAAGCTGATTCTTGTCATGCAGATTAGAGGAAATAAAATCCCAAATACAGGATATATTTAATTAAGGTAGAAATACACTAAAGCCATCTCTAACAGGAGCACAGAGCACATCCAACAACTTAGAGGGAAAGCAAAGCAGCATTGCTAAATTGTTGTCAATAAACATAACATTCAAAAGCAGTTATAAGCTATTTTTCATTTCCATTTTTCAAGTATATTTTAATTTTTCTGATTAACTTGTAGTTTTGATTTTATTTGAATTTACACTAATGGATAAGGAAGAGAACACAAGTTCCTAAACTAGAGCTGGAATTACAGACATGAAATAGTGGCTTGAGTAAAGCTGGAGCTTTCTGTTAGTTAAGAATCAAGTAAATTTTTTAATTATTCTTTTTCCAGGACAAAAAGCATCCAAACAGTAAACATTTTTAGCCTTGTTGTGGCTGTTTGAGAAGTGTGAATCAATGCTATGCTTGGAGACCAGTTTTCAGGGCTTTTTTTTGTGGCAGGTATCCCCATGCAGTGCATCTATTTTGTGCATGTTTGTCTAAAGCTACCAAAAAAACCCACCTTTTTTTTTCCTGAACTTCTGTACACACATCTGGTTCTGGTGGGAAGAGGAGGAAGATTTGGTAGCTGGTGGGTTAGCATATTTATGTGAATTACTTAAAGCATTAGTAAACTATTGTCAACTCTGTTCACATTGCACAAGATACTCTGTGTAGTCTACTGCTGGTATTATAACCTAGGTGATCAGTGCATATTCTGTAAATTCCTGTAGGTTTTGTGTAAGAAATCTTGTCACCACTGCTTACTGCTGTAAATTCTTGTTTTGAAGCAAGAGGTGGCATTTGATTGTACAGCCATGCGTATTATATACTACAACAGTCCTTGTTCTGTCCTCTAGACTCACTGTCCACATAGAGTTGAAGCTCTGTTAAGCATGCGTAATGGTTTCAGAATTTATTTCAGATAGCAGATCTATAAGCCATTTACAGGAATATTAAATGTAATGTAAGAGAATCCAACCCAGTTCGTACCCTTTCTTGAGAGCTGGTGGTTGGATTTTAGCAGGCAGCTGCAGGTCAGCAGGTTCTATGGCATCCCAGCTGCGGCTGCCTGCACACCTGGGAGGTGCCACACCTGGGCAGGTGTCCCCTGGCAAAGGGGTGCCCCAGGTACAGAGCCTGGGCAGGCTGCTGCCTTACAAAGACGTGTGAGCTAGTGTCTTTGTTTTTTCCCAAAAACTGCATCAGTGCCAAGACTGAAACCCATCTTTAAGGGCATGCAGGAGGTGCGGTGCTGCCTCCCTATTGTGTCCTCCTCCCCACCCACCACAGGCTCCACCTGAGGTGGTATTTTAAGGAGAATTTAACTCTCTGTCTGTTGAGAGAGAAAAATAACCTGAATTCTTGGACTATGGATTCTTTTTTATAGTATTTTATGATGTACAGCAAAGACCTGAAAATGTCTGTGTGTTCTTTGCTGGTTTCTGACATCAGAAATTCAAGTCCTGTCTAGTCTGAAAGGCAATGATGGGAAAGGTGGAAAAGCTTGGAAAGTTGAAGGGGATTCTTACTTGGATTATTTTAAATGTTTTTATTGATAGTTTAAATGACTAGGTTAATCTCTTGAATCAAGGCAGTCTTAATGACTTTGCACCTTCACCATTTCATGTAAGACTTTGAGAACTTGCAATAAATGTTTCTCACACTTACAGTCCAATATGTAGATAAACTCCTTATATTTCTAAGATCAAAAAATATTTCTACAGTTACTTCAGCCCTTTACAGAGAACAACAGGGCAATCCCAATCCCATAATCCCAAGTATTTGTAGGTGTATTTTAGACAAAGAATGACTTTCAACATCATAAATGAAACAAATGTTCAATGTTCCAGTCTCTGGAAGTAATGGAAACCTCAGTAATTTTGCAAACCAGCAAGAATTAAACTTGTCAATATAAATATTAATGTAGAAAGTGCATGCAAAACTCGATACTGCCTCTGACCTTAAGCATTAATATTGATAATATTGGGGATCTCACAAATGTTGTGTGTTACAGAACCGCTGTATTTCTCCTCAGTGTGTACTTCATCTTCATTACCGACAGCTACTGCAAAGAGCCAATCCATGCCGTAGCTGAGGCGTGGAGATACAAACTTCCCACAGCATCATAAATACGTGAACATGTGTGTGTGTTGTGTTAGGATGAGTAACCACTCCAGCTACAAACTCCTCCAGACCTTGTCTGTATTTTCAGAGCAGCCTGTGGGATGGGTTTGGAAGGTCAGCAGCCTGTGTGGATGCTGCCTGACAGCGATCCCATCCCACATGGCCTCGGATCTGGCTTTGGGGGATCATCATGAAGTCAAGCCTCACTGGTTTTTACCTGTGAAAAGTTCCTTGCCAGACTGGGAACTGTAAAGACACGGATAGTGCGGGTCACTGACCCAGAGCGTGTCTGCATTGGAGCCTCAGGCAGGACTGTGACAGACAGTTTGTCATGGTGATACTGTGCCACCACATCAGACTTGTTTCCGCTCCACACTGTGGCCTGATTCATCCTGCCATAATCTCAGCTGGCTAAAAATTACCATCCTGGGTCTCCTGTGTAAGTCAGAGGAGGGACAGGAGAGGAGATGCCTCTGGAAGATTGTATGATGGCATCAGCTACCCTGCCACTGATGAAGAGCTGGAATTAGGTGGGATGAATCCATGAGTTTACAATTGGCTTAGGTACCTCTGCACAAAAGTGTATTTATTTGAGCTTGGTAAGGACAAGAATAATGCAGGTTCTTTGAACCTGAATCTGAGTAGCTTACAGATGAGTTTCTGAATTCAATCTTAAACATTAGATTTCTGCTCCATAGTTGCTCTTTTATTTTTACTTCAGGTTTTATGAACAGGTATAACTTTAACTAACTTGTTGGAAGGTTTACACCTGCCTAGAAATGCTCACCTTTATTTGTTAAGTGGGCTCCCTCATTGTCTGCACCGATTCATTTATTGAAAGCAACACATGAAGAAACCATTGCATAGATCAATCAACACCAGCAATAGCGTACGCAGCTTTTAAATTCAGCTGTGAGCTTGGAACTAAGGTATTAATGTTCATACTTTCCGGGTGTGGCTAAAGATTCCTTTCCTGAGAGCATTAAGGAATAAATCTAGGAGGTTGTGATTGAGGATTGAGAGAATACATGTAGCAATGGCAGTTTATGTTGGTTTGTTTTCTTTCTGTAAACGTGTGATAAATGTATTGCGATTTCATGTGCTGGTTTGGAGATGAGGGAATATCCGGTGCCAAACAGAGCAGATCTCTGCAGGCAGCTTTACGGTGGGTTGGCAAAGCCTGTTTACAGCAGGTTCCACCTCAGGCCTGCACCGCACCCATCTCATTCTAGTTCACTTTGATACCTTCCTTCACTCGCTGCTGTTACAAAATCCTGACAGCAGTCATATGTGTTCTTGTTGTGAGCTGAGGAACAGGTGAAGTTTAAAAACACAAATGTTGTAGCTTGCACCTTTCACCTTTGTGGACTGTCCATGTTCTCACAGCTGAGCTGGGACAGCAGCCGCCTCCACAGTTGCCATGTAGCTCCATCCCACAAAATTGGGTGTCATTTTTTATGAGTTTAACAGGAGCAATATTGATCCATTCACTTTATTTCCTAAGTTGTGAATCACTCAGTGCTGGAAATGATACACGTCTCGTGTTGCTATGAATAGAAAAACTGAGAGTTGTGTTTTAGGATGTGCTGGTACAATCCCTGCCTGCTGTTCAGTGTTTCGAGTGCTGAAGTTAACCAAAATGTTACCTTCGTGGATTATCTCAGCCTCAGCTCTGTGTAAAAATGGGTATGAATTTCCAGTTGCTATTCCTGGTTTCTCTGTGCATTCTGAGCCAAAGGTAAAACAGTGGGAAAGATGGTTGTGGCAGCCACTCATTGACAGCTTTTCAGATATGTAAGGCCATTCTGTCTGTCATCTGACACTGTTCCAGTTTTTTCACTGGATCATCATGCTGTTGAATATCTCGATGGGTGTTGTCAGCCAGTGGAGGGAAGGTGAAGGAGCTCACCACCCAGGAAGGGTAAAAATGTAGCAAGTAACAAGCTGTCTTCTCCAGAAGTCATTTATTTGTAGTGCTTCACTGTCAGTAACATTTGTACCTTCAATTATTATTGTACCGTTCAGTATCTTGAGGTGGTATGAGCAGAAATATATGAATATATATAATTTACAAGACGTATAGGCTTGTACTGTGCCTTTGTAATTCTCTTCAGCTTCAGTATCTATATGCTACAAGCAGACAAACTTCCCTCTTTTGGGGTGTTCTTTACTACAACAGTAGCTGATGGCTTCATTAATACTGACTATTTTAGTCTTCTGGGGCTAACATTTATGTTTTTCTGGGTGAAAATGCCCTCAGCAGAAGTAAGCACAATGACATAACACTGCAGTGCATGCTGTCTCTTAGCTTCTCTCTACATGTGCTTGCATGTTGGAAATTCAAAAGTGCTGCTGTATAAAATTGCTACATTATTTACCCAATACAGGTGTTCTTCTGCATCCCTTTTTAGCTCAAAACTCCTGTTGTCTTGGAAGTTAGTGATGGCTCAAAAGGGGGTTTTGGCTGCACAAAGGATGCAGGGAGCAACTCCTAAGTAGTTTACAGGCTGCTGTAAATGTCTTTTTGGCAAAGAAATGTAGCATTTTAGCTGTAAATTCCTAGTGAAAACACTGAGCGTGCTTATCACTTAAGATTGTAATGGAAAAAAAAAGGTGTCAGACTGTGTAATTTTATCTCATCTAACTTTGACACTTAACCAGTTTTACCTGCGTGTTTATGCTACACCAACCAACACAGACCTGAAAGGTGACAGCCTTGTCTTAGTACTGCAGCTACTCAAGAAGTCACGGTTTTCCAGAGCTTCTGTTTGGATTTTTTGTTCCTTTAACACATTTTCATTGCAGAGGTATTTTTCTGTAGAGTTACTTGAGGCTTTCTTTAACCAACGCAAGAGTCTGTAGCCCTCTGCACTGTGAAAGGCAAAGCCCTGTGGGGACACTCGGGCTTCGCGCTTGCCCAGCAAATTAGCAGAAATTTCACCCAAGCCATAAAAGCCTCTTATGTTAATCTCTATTTATGTAATTAAAGCAATTAGGGGTAGGAGCTTCAGGAATAATGAGGTGTCTCTATCATTCATTTTCTCTCTCTCTGTACTTCCTAGGGATTTAAGGGTTCTTTTTCCAAGGCTCAGCTGTGTTTCCTCAAACCAGTGCAGTCCAGGCATTGTGTGAGGTGCAGTTTATGGAGATAGCATTGGAGCGTGAAAGATTTACTTCTGGTAGCAAGGAATAATCTGTGTCCCTGTGGACATGGACACTTGCAAACAAGTCTGATACCGAGAATTAAAAAAAAAAAATAAAAAAATTGAAGATGGTACCAGTACATCAGACTCTGTTCTACAGTGGGGTTTTTAGCTTTTGTCATTTGTATTTTATTTTGTGAAAAAGGAGTTGGGGGGATCTCAGATCACATGGGGAATATTAGAAGTATATCATTCAACAATCATTTTATAAAGTCTAACTTCAAAATGCACTATGATTTATTACAAAAGTATATTTTCTTCTGCTTGCCGACATGGTGGTTCCATTTTGTGATAAGTTAAACTCAGCAGTTAATTTGTTGCACTGCCTGGCTGCATGACTTCATCCAGTGTACATACGTACCTGTGCAGCATTACTTTTGGGGTTTGTATTTGAATTTGCAGTATTGATTATTATTTTTGTATTTTACTTTGCCTCTGTTATTGGAATTGTAGTAAACATAATTTATACATATGATTTTACAACTGTTTTGCAACTGAAAAGTCTCCTTTAAATTGTAAAGTTTTATTGATGGATACTCATTAAAATGGTATAAGAATTATATTAACAATTGTTTTGTGTTTTGATGCTCTCTGTACATAAATATATGTCTATTTATCTGTTTAATGGTGCTTGTGTCTTGCAATTTTGGATACATTTTAGAATAAAGTTTCATTTTACAAGAAGTAGTTGTATTTTCACGACCTGTGTCAAAAAAAAACAACTCACCTTTTTTCGATTAATAACTAGGGTTATGAAAGAAGCATACATAAAACATTTGTAACTTCAGGCAGTTACATATTTGTTTCAAGAATATAGAAATATGCAGTCTACAGAGATGCACAGCTGTATGTTGCAGTTGACTGACTGCAGTAACTGACATCTGTATTTAAAATGTTAACAAAAGGATGCATTTTGGAGCACTTCTGACTAGGTCTCATGGCTTTGCAGAAGATTTATTCACATCTCATACTGAGCTTATCTTTTATTAACAGGAAAAGGTAAACAAAGATGCTTCCTAGAGGTTGCCTTAGGGCCAGCTACCTTCACCTGTTGGTATTGCCACAGGTGCTGTTGTAACTGTGGCACAAAAGGTACTTTTTCGACTGGGAAACCATTGAAAAACACAAATCCGCTCTGTGAACTGGGGTCAGTAACTGAATTTCTGTTAATTTTTCAGCTGTGAAAGGAGAACAATATTGACTTTGCAGGTTATCTTCTGAGCAGAAGTGCACCAAAAGCTGTAAAATACTCCATTACTCCAGTGGAGACTGTGTAAAAAGCTTCAGTGGTTCCTTTGCAGTCAGTTACATTCCTTTACCTTCTTGATCCTTTAGCTGGAGTGCAAAAGAAATGCAGCTTAGGAAAGCAGAAGCTCATTTGGGAAAGTTTTTCAAATATCAGCTTTCCCTTGCTCTAACAGAAACAAGTTACCTTTTGTGTTTCTCTAAAACTCCTCACCCCAAGCATCTGCTCCTCCACACACTCCAGAAGGTTATAAATGTGAGCAGATTTAGATTTTACTTTACCTACATGTGATTCTAGAGGCTCTGTAGCTCCTCATCTCACAGCAGAGAACAGATCTATACTGGGTCAAACACCTGATCACCGGGTCAATGTGAAATGGAGGTGAAAGCCACCTGTGGAAGAACAAAAAATGAGCATTATCTTAGACAACACCTGAGCGTGACAAGGTAAACCTGGAAACAAATTTAAAAATTACTGGCCCAGATAGGCGAAACACAAGTTAATGGGTTTTTTAAATAGGAAAAGGTTTAGTTCTGTTTACAGACTCTTCCATCTGGCACCCATGATCCATGGTGTGAGAAGCTGATAACTTGAGTTTTTGTCATCTGGACTGAGCAGATGAGGAAGGAGAAAACACTGGCTGCAAACCTTTCACAAACCCTGTTCAGGTAGTGAGAACGAGGTGTGCCACTGCCACTGTCAACAAAGTCTGTTTCTTCCCTTCACAGAAGCCAAAGGAAAGAGATACCCATGCAAACTTTTCTTTTTCTGAAGCAACAGAATAAAAAAAAAGGTAGAGAATAGCACAGCATGCTGATTTTCACAGCCAGGATCCTCTGGAATGCAACTAGTGTGATGGTACAGCCATCCTGTTGCTTGCTAAAAGAGTATGTGACACACACTCTTGCAATAGCTGTGCTGTGATAGTAACAGACAGTGTGGGAAGAAAATCCCTACTGCACTGAGAAACTCTGTCTTGATTGGTTAAAACTCAGATTTTCCTGGCTGTCAAGGTTAAAACTGACATTGTTAAAGCTGGATCTTTAACAATGTTTAAATGAACAAGTGTTCATGATATAAACTCATTTATATATGTTTTTAAGAAACATGGGAAGCCTTTCATTGGAATAGCAACTTCCAAGAGGAAAGGCTGTAAGGAAAGGCTACAGAAAGCAAAGCGTTGCTGGTGTATTAAAACCATGCAGGAGCACAGAGTCAAATATAAGCCCTGCAGTCTTTCCTGAAAACCATTTACAGTTTACACCTTCTGCTACATTAAAGTAACACATCAGCTCCAGGAACAACTGGTGACAAGCCCAGAGCATCCCCAAAGTGGTTGAGCCCTCAGTAGCAATAGCACTGTATCCATGCCAGTAGTAAAACGTTGACCCTCCTGACTGGTCCAAAAGCGATGGCTCTGCTCTTACTCAGGTGGTATTTTAACAATGTGCAGCAATATCTATACCAGCTGTGTGTGGAGGAGGAGGTAAGAGAAGGAGCTCTCTGCAAGCTCTCCAGTTACTAACTCCTGCAGGAATAGGTGACTGGGGGCATGGCATTAAAAATTCTATACCAGCACTGCCAGTGGCTCACCTGCGTGAGAGGGGAACATGTCTTCCCTGGACACACCTGCTGGGCTGTCAAGTTGGTGACAACGTGAGAGAGTAAGACTTCAAGAAAAGGAAATAAAAATGAAAACATGAAGCTGATTATTACAGAGATTTTGGTAGCAGTCCACACACCAAACCCACCACGGGCTTGTGCCAGGCCATGAGGTGACCCCAGGGGTCCTGGAGCAGGAGTGGTTGGACACCTACTCCATGGTGCCCTGAACACACCTAGCACCCCTTTCATTGGAGTTGTTCAGCTTGGAGAGGCAAAGGCTGCAGGGAGACCTTAGAGCACCTTCCAGTGCCTCAAGGCACTGGCACAAGAGAGCTGGAGAGGGACTTTATACCAGGGCATGCAGTGATAGGACAGGGGGGAATGGCTTCAAACTGAGAGTATGTTTAGATTAGATAGATATCAGGAAGAATTTCCTCCCTGTGAGGGGGATGAGGGGCTGGAATGGATTTCCCAGAGAAGCTGTGGCTGCCCCATCCCTGGAAGTATCCAAGGCCAGGTTGGACAGGGCTTGGAGCAACCTGGGATAATGGAAGCTGTCCCTCCCTGCCCGTGGCAAGGGGTGGAACGAGATGAGCTTTGAGGTCTCTTCCAACCTAAACCATTCCACGATTCCCCTCAGCCCCAGCACCCCATCCCCTCAGCCCCGACGCCCCCTCTTCCCTCATGCCGGGCACCTCTTTTCCCTCAGCCCCATCCTCCCACTCCCTCGCCCCTGGGAAGCCCGGTCCGCTCATCTCCCGGCACCCCTTTTCCCTCATTCCCATCACGCCGTTCCTCTAATTCCGAGGACCTCCTCCACCTCATCCCCGGGCAACTCTTGCCTCATCCACAGGCATCCCCTACCCTCATCCCGTCCACCCCTGTCCCCTCACCACGTCCCCCTTTTCCCCTCACCCCGTACCCCCCCCTTCCTTCACCCCGTTCCCCCTCTCCCCTCACCCTTCTTCTTCTCAGCTCTGTCTCCTTCCCCTCACCCTGTTCCCCCTTCTCGCCTAGCCCAGCGTTGCCCTCACTGCAGCCGGAGGAGATCCCGGCCGATTTCCCGCTGGCGCCGGGGCGGGCCTGTCCCACCCATCCGGCGGGCGGGGCGATCCGGAAGCGCGAGCCTGCGTTGCCGGGGCAGCTGCGGGATGAGACATTCCCCCATGGATGTGTGCATGTGCCAGGGGGTCCTGCCAGCCCACGCCGACCCCCGCGGGGAGCTGAGCGCCGGGCAGCTGCTCCGCTGGATGGACGCCGCCGCCTGCCTCGCAGGTACTGGGAACACCCCGCCCGGAACACCGGGAAACTCGTCCCGCTGTTCGCCCAGGAGGCGGCGAGATCACCCCCCGCCTTGGGGGCCGAGGGAGGCTTGAGGGAAGGTTTCAGACGGTGGAAGGGGAAAGTGTTCCAGATTTCCCAGTCACGAGGGGGTGTGGAAGGGACCGCACAGGGTCACGTGGTCTTGCCTCGGTGTGGTCCCAGAGCGCGTGGCAGCTCTGTATCCCGGCACAGCTCTGCATCCCGGCACAGCTTTGTGTCCCGGCACAGCTCTGCGTCCCGGCACAGCTCTGCGTCCCGGCGCAGCTTTGTGTCCGGGCGCTTCTGGCAGCCTTGGGACCGTGACCGCTTCCCTAGGGAGCCTGTTCAGTGCCCAGCCACCCTCTGGGGGAAGAGCCTTTTCCTGAGATCCAACCTGAACCTTCCCTGACAACAGCTTCATATTCAGGTTGTTGTGCAGTGCTGTTCTCCAGGTTTCCTGCTACTCCTCTCCTTTGCCTCTGTCACTCAGGAAACTTTGTGAAGCAGAGGTTCCCTCTGTTTATGCAGCTCCTAGTTCAGTGGAGATTTAGCTCTGACTGGAAGCTCTAGGTGCTATGGTCAAATAAATAATACGTCACAATAACTTGCGATAAAAACTTAACTATCAGGCTATTAAGTATTAACAGTAAAGAAAATATTTACCTATTTCAGATCAACTTTCATAATTAATCCGGAAAGATTGCATTCTTTTTCACAACCAAATGCATCCCAGGAAGATGAAGAACACAGTTCAAATTTTGGTAAAAATATTTTACAGTAAGTAAGTACTGGTTTTGATTTTTTAAAATCTTGTTTGCATTTGCTTTTATTTAATCCATGCAGTTTTGGTGCAGGGCTGAGGACATGTACTTGCCTGCTTTCCACTGCTATGACCATGCTAATAAGGGAGCAGATTTTTCTCCTGTATCTGAAAATCCTCAGCTTACATGTTAGTTTACCCGAGCTGATATTAATGACACACTTTTTTGAGGGAGAATGCTGAGATTTCTGTAAGCTGTTTAAGACTTTTTGACTCTTTCTGTCCTGCAACATGCTTGTTAATGCTCTCCTACCAGAACATTCATTGTTAGAGAACGACATTCAATAGAGATTTTCAAACTGAGTAGTATCATTGTCATCATCTAGTCTCATCTCCTGATGTTACCTTTCAATATGAATACCCTTTACCATGAAATCATGATAAATACTAACTTTAATCTTATTTAGCTTCTCTTTTTTTCTAAGGGTCCCACTGCAGACTTGCATTTTGGTGTTCACAGGAAGAGCTGGGATCTGCTGTGTGTGATCTCTGTGTTTCAAGTACACAGGTGAATAGCTCACTGCATGTGCCTTGTGGTAACTGTGTGCCCCCGTGTCTCTTTTGAAGCTGAGAAACATGCTGGTGTGTCCTGCGTGACAGTGTCCATGGATGACATACAGTTTGAGGAGGCTGCCAGGTACAGAACCAGCTGAATGACAACCAGGTGTTTTCATTCCAGAGATCCTTACTTGGCAGAGATCAAATTACAGAATCAGAGAGAGCAGACTGATGAACTCACCAGAGTTACAGGGCTAAGTCCTAAAATTGCTCATTTCTACCTGTGATAACCTGCCCCACCTAGAAAGCAGATTGATTTCATGGGTCAGAAATAAATTGCTGTTACTTTGACTTGGCAGCCAAGATGAAAAACTTATGGCATGGTGTCTTTGGCTCTAGTGAAAGTGAATGATGCAGACCACTAGGTATCTCTGTTAAATGAGGAGTGTATACCTATAAAAGTTACTGTATTAATGTTTGTATTGTTGCAAGTGCTCTTTTGGTTTATTTCTTACCATCTCTTTCTTTCAGCTCTTGTAGAAAAACCAGAAATGTTTTTCATTCCTTAATCACTGAATTGGCTGACTCTTACAGGATAACACAGGACTTAACCTGTTTTAACCATTTTTCATGATTTTCAGAGGGATAAAAGACACTGTAAGAGGAAATAGCACCTTTATTCCTAAATCATGTCTTTACATTAACTTAAAACCATTACTTTGTATTTTTTGTGTGTGTTTTACACCTTGTAATCTGGGAATTAAGGAGAGCTTAGATGGGATAGACCTGGTTGCATAGACTAATGCACGTGCAGTTGTCTTGGCTGTAAACAAAAGCAACACTGGCTGTCAGAGGTACAGCTGGTGTCAATTTAAAACAGTTTGCTGTCCAAGTGTAAAATCAGCATCCACTCACACTTATGATTTTTAGAGCAGTGGCCGTTAGGATGAGAACTAGAACAAGTGACAGAGAAGAGAACATAATCATATCAAATCCAGAACCCAAAAGAGCATTTCTTTGTCTGTTTTGCAATATTGAAGTGTTTGTCCTGCCAGCTGTTGCTCTGTGGTTTTCATTTCGCCCTTAGGAAAAAAATCCTGTCTGTGAAAACTAATCAGAATTTCTCTTTTAGGCATAATACTTCGTAGTTAGTATCTTCAGAGCAATTTCCTGTCTTGTTCCTGAGAGCAGAACAGAGCTTCTGAAATATAGTAAAAATACTTTTCCTTCCATATTTGTTTCCAAATGCATCTCTAGTTCTTCTTCCACTCGTGACATCAATATTTCATTTTTACAAGAATTTAGAATCTAGTAACTGTGGAGTAGCTAAAGAAATTATTTTTCAGTGTCAGGTCATCCCTAGCATCCTGCAAATTCCTAAATTATGCCTGATCCAGTTGATTATACAATCATCTTACATAAGTAACAGAGCTGTTGCTGCTCCCTCTAGTAAATGAATAAGATGTTTTGTAAGTGACTTACTGTAAGGTTTCATTTCCCTAACTCAAGTTACTAAATGTTCTGTAAGGATTAAGTCTTCTGTGCTTCTTTCTTTCCAGTTGACTTGGAAATAGAAATTTCCACAACTCTCTATAGTTCAAAACTCAGTTTTATGCCATGATAACAAGTAAATCCCTCTTCCTTGTCTTTTAATATGCAGCCGTTCAATGGTACTGATTTCCAACTACATCTAATTTTAAATTACACTTATTTAAATTTTGTTAGTGTTCCATGTGCAAATCATAGTCAGTTCGTTCTATTAAGTTTCTGGCAGTTTTAGGTGTAAGTGTGGTGTTCTGTGACTTCTGCCCCTGCGTATCTATTGTTACTGTTCTGAACATTCTCCTTTCCGAAAATGAGCTGTGCAGCTGAGAACCGTTACAGTAAGGATTGTGTTTTTTCTTTGCAATGAATAATGGAAAAACTGCTTCTAAATATCTTCTTCAAAAGCTAATAAAGGCCGTGTACCTGCAGATGATCTTGATTCTTTCCACTGACCATTTTTCTCCTGTCTACTCAGCAAGGAAAAGCAATTTTAGCATAAAGGTTATGCAGTTCTCTGAGTAACTATAATTTTATTGAGCATGAACAAAGTCTGACTGGTGAATAACAGTGCTAAACTGAAAACAGTGAAAAATTAACTTTTTCAGCGAATTTTCTGGGCAACGTGGAAGACACCAAGTGATTAATGAGATTTTCTTCACTATTAGGAATAGATAGGGAGGCACATTCAAGCCCTTACAAAGCTACATGTTTGCATTCTCTAAGGTGTTATTCTTGTTAACAGGGTGGGACAAATTATTACCATCAAAGCAAAGGTGAACAGAGCATTCAGAACCAGCATGGAGGTAAGAGATCATCACTCTTATTCCCAATGATGTTGAAGGAATAGAACAAAGGTGGGAGCAGACATGCGTGCAGATTTATTTGGTACAGATACCTGTGCAAGTATTTAAACAATAACACTGCATAATGAAACTCTGGTTTTGAAGTATTATAATTACATGTTTCCTGGAGAATAATCAATGTCAAAGTAGAAACTGGACCCTGAAGAATTGAAGTCTTTGGGAGCTGTATTGGGGTAGGTGGTGTTGGTCCAGTACAAAGCTGTTGGCCTCCAAGCAGCCTTTAGATGAGATGCACTGAATAGGTGGAGTTCTAAGTATTTTTGAAACTTCTGGTACAAAAATAGGTAAATCAGATGTAAATATGTTCTTACTCTTCATATTGTAACAAATATGCAGTGCATTGCCAAGTGACTTGAAATCAGAACTGAGAATCAGAAAATTGGAAATAAGAATTGAATATCAGAATTGAAATCAGAACCTTAGGGGTACTTTTTCTCCACCGTACCTGAGTCCAATTCCATTAATATTAACAGGAGTAATGCATCTCACAGAGAATGTGTTCAAAAAGGCTCTCAAAATTAGAAAAAAATCAGAAGCTTCGATGCACATCAGGCATGGGAACAAATACAGTGTTTCACCTTCAAGTGTTTCATTGTGTTTTGTACGTTTAGACAGACCTCTTAGCCCATACAGACCTTAGAAAGATTCAAATGGGGATTCCAAATGGCACACAAGTAAATGGAAAGAAGTGTCCATGAAACTACACCTCAATGTCTTTCCTCTGTTTTATTTTGCTAAACAGTGGTTGTACTAAAAAAACCTTCAGAGCTCAGCGAATGGTGTGATATTCTCAGGTGTTCAAAGATGTATCAGTGATAGCAAAGCAGTTTTTTTCCTTTTCCCTTTTATGTGGAGAGGCTGGACATGATAAATTTTGTCTCAGCTGACAATAATATAAAAAACCTTATTTTCTCCTTCCTTTTAGGTTGGCATCAAGGTTACAGTACAGGATGTTTTGACTAATGTTGAAAAAACTGTGAGTGTGGCATATGGAACGTATGTAGCCAAACCAGTTGGTGCTGGAAAGGTATTCTTTCAGTTTCCTTCTAAGCTTGAACTGTCTGAGTTTCTGTGAAATAAACCAACTTTCTTGATTCTGAAACCCAGTAAAAATGGTCATACTGTTTTAGTCTGATCAGTAATAGGAAAAGAGCACAAAGTCCAGACTTTATATAGATGAGGTTGTTTCATTTTGGTTTGTTTTGAATTCTCTGCTCTGAAATTGTTAGGCTATTACTATTATTATTGCTACTACTATTATTTTTTTTTCCACTTTCTTTTGCACATTTGTTTTTCAGAGAACTGTAGTAAGGGGTGCAATATTGAGAGAGGCAAGCACTGAAAGAGACTCCACAGTCTCTCTCCTTTTCAGAGGCTGATCTAAATAAACTCTGAAACCTGCAAGGATGGGAGGGTGGGGTTTCTTTATCCTTTGCTTCCCCTTATGAGGAGGTTGTTCAGACATCACTGTTCAGATAGAAGGCATTATTTTTAAGATAGCTTCCAATCCAAATTAATTCTTTGCCATTTTTATTAATTAGTTTTCATGCCAATGCTGTTTCTTCTCCCCAGTGTTTGGCTCCCTGGAGGTATTTAGAAATCAGTCACGGTACTGTTGGCCTTCACATCGCTGTACCAGACAGGCACAGTCCCTTTAAAGTTTTCTTGTGAGAAAGGCCAAATATTCCTCAGATTCTCTTAACAAAATCCCTTTTTATGTAGCATTCTACTTTCTTGAATGTGACCAGAATCATGTACCTGACTTTCCTGTCTCATTGAACATGTTATGACAGTGCATCTGCTTTCTTAACGTCCACTGGAGGCTGGCAGAGTCATCCCATGAGCCATTAATATATCCAGTCATTTCTGCTTTCTCTTCTGTCATGGTATATTACCATTTGCAGAAGAAATAGACTGGAACAGTTTTACCAGAACTAAAGCCCAACTTGTCTCTGAAAGGCTAATGGCCAAATTGCTTCCCTGAAAGCACTGAAAGAGTATAAAGTAAGAATTGTTTATTATTGGTTTGATATCATACCCATGGAATCAACCTGTTTACCTTTTGCCCAAATTTCCAGGGAGGTTAATTCAGGATTAAATTCGTGATGATTAACTAAGATTGGACTTAAAGCAGAAATGTCCCAGAGGGAGTTAGAGAGCTCAGTTCAAATTCCTTCACAAAGTCTTGGAGAAATTAAAGAACTTTTTTTTTTTTTTTCCAAATCCACTTTTCTGAACAACTGTTTCTAAAATTGTGGAGAGAGAACCACTGTGCACCCACCATCTTAATCTGTTAGTTGGACCATCTGGAAGAAGATGGGAAGTTCTTGTTGAGAACCAGAAAGGAAGAAAGGAAATGGCAAGAGGGTTTGAGGGAAGAGTCAAAAGCTGAGAAACGTTAGCAGCACCAAGGCAAGACACAAAATGTTGAATTTCTGTGTGTGTTGCAGTGCTTGGTGCATTATTTTTGAGCCTAGATGTGCTGGTTTAGAAGTTAACCAGCAGGGGGAATGAACTCAACTCAAAGGAGAGATTATAAGTCAGAATAACAATTTATTAAAATAATACAGTAAGTACAATAATACAAACAAACAATTGGTCTCAACCCACAAAAACCCAAATGTATTAACCCATACCCTGGGGCATATGAACAATAGTGGTGCTTCCTTGGGCCCTATTTGAGTCCAAGTAAAGGGAGAGGGAAGAACTGCTTGGTGGGAAGCTTGCTGCCAGTCTGACGGCAGAACTTGTGATCGCCAGTCCAGTGGTGGTCTAATTCTGGTTGAAGAGCGATGAGAGGCAGCCGTCCTCTGGATCCACGAGTGGAGTTGAAAAATGTTCCAAAACTCAAGATGTATAATCATCCTCCTGTTCAGCAGGAATGTTCAGTGCCGCCCCTCAGTCGGGAGATTCCACAAAGGTGCTGAGAACAGAAACATCCCTCCTATCTCACAGGCCTCTTAACACCTAACCATAGTATTATAGCCTGAGAGTCAGCTCTATTCGGCAGAGGTGTGCCCCGAATAGTCTTTGACAGACAATAGTCTGTGTCTGGAGAAATACCATGGAAGGCTATAGAATACAGTTTTGGGTTACACCCACCATGATGAACTGATCTCAGTTGTCCTAACTAGGACACTAGACCTTGTAGACAAATGACACAAGTGACTATTCAGTGACACCTGTGCTGTAATTATCCAAATGTAATAATTTTCTTAAGCCAGTACATATTTGTTATCAGTTTGTGATTGAACTGACATACATGGGAATTTCCACTTACATCACTGATTAACTTTGTAATTCAAAAATTCAATACTCAAACCTTCATATTAATTTTTCTTTTCCTTTTTTTTTCTCAAGTGAGAACTGTCTTAAGAACTATGTTTATGCCCTGAGATCATTCCCAACAAGCAGGAAAAATTTCATAACATGGGTGTCAAAACAGGTAAAAAAAATCTTTCTAATTTGATCACTAGCTGAGCCAAGAAACAGGTTCATCTTTTATTCTGACAGTAATTTCTGTTCTTGAAGAGACTTGTGCTCAGAAGTTGCTATGTTCCCCTGCAAAAGAAAGTATTCCCAGCAGTTAAGCAAATATACTGGTATTTTGAAAATATATTCCACGTATAAAATACAGGCTTTTACTGAGGTTTTACTGAGGAGAGATTAAACCTGTTGTAAACATAGATTCTAGTCTTAACTTTGTAGAACTGAAGAGTCTTGTTTGCTATAAGCAAAGAAGCTATTTGTCTTAATGGTAGTTGTCTCACAGGGTACAGTTGAGTACCCTGACAGAGGTTGATGGGTTTTATCTCCAATACATTTCCTGGAAACTTCCTTCAAGGGTATTTATTGTAGCACTAATTCACCTTCTTACAAGCAAAATAGGAGAGAGGAGAAAACATTTCATGGAAAGGCTGCTAGGTAGCAAAATAGGTACAAATCATACCCAGAAAGTGATCTTGTCTGCTGAGTGGATCTTAGGCAACAACTTAAGAGGGTCCAAAGTACAAGTTAGTCATGTGTTTCCACACATTTATGTAATCACAAAGATAGTTAATTGTGGTGAAAGTCAGAAGTACCATTCAGGTCAAGCAGCCTTAGCACTTTTAAAATAACTGACGTAATCTCATGCCTAAATCTGTTCCTACAGAACACCACTGAGAAGAACAAAGATCAGAGTGAGGATGTATGGCTGAACATTTGAAAGTGATACTGGAAATGCTCAGACAATGGAAGGTGATCCAGATCCTTCTTCTCTCTTTTGTCTATTATATGTTGTCTCAGGTAATCACAAGATTTGTAACAAGTTTGACATAATCATGTCATACTCTAACCTTAATTAGACACATTTGCACAGGTGCCAATCACACACAGTGGCAAAGTCTTTGAAAGACATTTGAATAAGTGATGAACAGGGCTCTGGTTCTTCTGTGTCTTTCTGTTTTTCTTCTTTTCATGGTGCCTGAAGCAAATGCACACTTCAGTAATAGGGTGCATTTTCTTCTGAAAAAATTCATTGATGCGTTGCTGCCATATTTCAGATACTTTTGAAGAGGAAGATGCAATTTCAGTTGAACTTACTCATGTACAGAGTATTGAGCTTGTCCTGCCTCCTCATGCAAACCATCATGGAAACACTTGGTGGCCAGATCATGGCTTGGATGGAGACAGTGGCGAGTATTTCAGCAAGGTACTTCCTACACCACAATCTCTGCATATGGTTCTAAATAGATGTGCTTTAGATATTAAGGCTTTCACAGGGATTTATTTCATGAAGAATAGAGACCCAGACCTTTGTAACTTTTCTTCCTCCTCACATTGCAGGAGACCCTTGAACTATTTATGTGGTACAGCTTCCACAGCCACTGTGAGAGTCAAATATTGCACATACAGACCCTAAGGGCAAAGAGACTGTTATCCTCCTGGGAATCTCTGCAGAACGTCAGAACTGGATGCAGGAACCGAAACTTGCCCTCCTTTTGGTTGGTGCAGTGTTTAAAAGAAAAATTAATTGTTAAATCAGGATGAAGCCAAGTACAAAGTATTTTTTGTGACACTGCTACTCAGTGTGGCCTAGTCATAAAATCATTTAATTCCTCCTCTCCTGGAGTCAAACCATTGTTTTTCTCCTTTCCTGTTCTTGGACACTGCACAAAGCTTTTTTGTGAGCACCACTGAAGTTTCAGTTTGAATTCTCCTTGCATGGCAAGTGACCTGATTCACTGCAGGGATGTTAGATATGTTTTCGCTTTTTAACTTTAATAATTAAATGGCTTTGCCATTCATTATTCATGTGGTTTTGGTTTGTAGTCAGTAGTTGTACTAATAACAACAGATTTTCTGTAGTGGTTGGATAAACAGCTTGTTTTAGTAACATCAGTGCACTGGCCTTACCCCAGTGTGCAGCTCCATTGGCTTGAAGGGATTGTTGCAGGTTTTTGCCGTAATATGACCCAAAATATTTACCTGTTTTTATCGGATAAATTTTACCTAGTGAGAGTCACATTTAGATTTAAAAAGGAAAGGAAAATAGCAGCAAACTGAGTATTGAATGAATTTCCATTGAGCTAATGAACATCAAATATGATTTATCATGCTGAAAAATTCAGGAATAATAGCTAGTGTCAGAGGCTGGTTGAAAACAGAGATTTTGTAGTTTTTTACTTGAGAGATAACTGGTCTCACTATGAACCTTTTTTGAGACCACTCAGAGCGAGACCTGACCTTTGAAGGTGCGAGGTAAGAGTTGGCATGGCTACAAACTCTGATGGAAGAATGGAAAAGGAGGGATAACCCTTGACAAAGAAATTTTAAAGTTTAGTCGCCTTCCTTCTGCCCTCTCCCCTCCCCACCACCTTTGTTCTGACAGACAATACATGAAAATCTTGAAGATAGAAATAAAACAGTTGAATATTATTAATATTAGTTAGAACTTGATACGTATTTTCTTATTTCTTACACTTGCAGTAAAAGCATTCAGAGCAAACTTTGCCATGAAAAATTGAATATTTAGGCCAGATTTCTCTTTTGTTCCTCTCTTATTTTCAATAATAGTGTGTTTGCATTTTTAACATTGTAACTAAAATCAATGTTTAACATTTTAAATCAGAAGAGCAAGTTATTTTTAATTTCATTACAAAGTCATTTGAATGTATTAGGCTATTAAATAGATGTACCAGTCAGTTAATTAGGTACAGATAATTATGTGCATTTAACAATACTGGTACATTAGTTTTCAAAGTGCAGTTCAGTTAAAGGCTAGGAGTGCTGCAAAACTGTGTTTTCAAATTTAAAAGATGCACAATGAAAAATCTATTCTCAGATGTGGACATGGGCTTCTCACTGAGAACAGCATGTTTTTTCAGAGTCTAAAAATAAATGGCATTATTGTGTATTGTTCCCGATTTGTGTGATGCACAGAGATCCCAGTAGAAAGTGAAGGGCTTTGACTGCATTTAGAACTGATGAAGAAGCCTAATTTTTGCCCACTCCAGAGAGCTTGCAAACTAGATCCCATTTACACAAACTGCATTTGGCAACAACGAGTAGTTTTTTTATTCTTATTTCTTATCACACCAGCAGAAAGTGTCTAGCAAACAAGCAAAAAGAAAGTACAAATATTAAAAAGAATAGATAGACTGACATTGCTTTGCGTGAACACTCTTTCTGGTACTCAGCCTTTCTGCTCAGGTTTCCTAATTGTTCAAAGGCTTTATGATCTGGCAATTTTATGTACTCCCTATGCATACAGAGGTTAATGAAACTCTGTGAAATAAGTGGTTACTCTGTAGGTAAGAGATTCATGGTCTGGCTCTGAAAGAGGGTAGTATCAAGCAGTGAGAATTAATTGGTGTTTGTAAAATGTGTTGAAAAGGAAACAGCTTGACATAAGTGGCATTATTATGTTTGAAGCTCAAATTATATACTCTTGGAGCTGAACATGGTCAGTGTATTCCAGTGGGTTATGGAGTAAATTAGTGTAATGTAGTGACCTTCTGAGTCGTGCAAACCTTGCTGCTGTAATCCCTTCCCACTCCAGACCTAACAAGGAAGTTCCTCAGCATGACTGTGTGTTTTGCTCTCTCTCTTGCTTTCTTTCCCAGCCGCCTTTGTCATTCATACCCTGTCCTGAAATCAGTGAACATGTTTAAGTTCTGGGGACCCTCCTTTGTGGGCGACCGCCTCGTCTTCAACACCATTGTGAACAACACCTTCCAGAACAGGTGAAGTTCCTCATCTGTTTGTCTTCCTTGACTTCTCCAGCACCAGCCTAAACTGTGTGTTTCAGGTTTCAGCCTGAAATCCAGGAGGATTGTGTTCCTGAATTAATTATTTTTTCGGCTGGAACATTGAAGGATGTATCTATATCTAAAACTGTCTATCTATATGTGGGAGTTTTTTGCTTTTCTCACTGGAAGTTTTAAAAAAATGCATTCCCTGACTTTCATTTTAAACATAATTTGTAACCAAATCTCACTCCCACAAATGCAGTCACTAAATATTCCTCTAAAACTCACGGATTTCCAAGAGTTCATTTGGTCCCAGAGCAGTGATTCTTCAGAATATTCCAGTTTACCCATCTTGACATCTGTTGGCAGATCCGGCTTCTATTTTATTACTTATTTTTATTAATTCTACTTAGCTACTCCCATCTTTTATTTTATTTCTGAAATGTGTCTGTCCAGATTGAGTAATTTATTTGGTTTGCTACAGAAGGTATTTCAGTCACACACACCTGGGTGTAAAGCAGTCCTTTTTAGCATTTCTCAGGGCTCCTTCTGCACCACTTGAAGTAGTTCAATAATTAATATAAACTTTTCTTTCAGTGTGGAGGTTGGTGTCCGTGTTGAGGCTTATGACTGTGAGGAGTGGATCAAGGACCAGCCACGGCACATTAACAGTGCATTCCTCATCTTTAGTGCTGTGAATGACAAAGGACAGCTGCTCCCCTTCCCCAAAGTCAAACCCACAACAGAGGTGAGCTCTCATCCACAGGGGCAGCAGGGATGCATATTTGAGGTGCTGTGGTCCAGCCCAGCACACTCTATGTGCAACAGATCATCACTACAACCAGGACATGGAAGAAAAATCTGCTTTTTGGAGATTTTTCCACCTGTCTGTATGTTTATGAAATTTCCACTGACTATAGATGAAACTCTACAGTATTAGTAGTTATTTTTAGAAATCCTTCACAAAGATGAGAAATAGAGTTAATAAAAAAGGGTGGAGAAATCAAACAAATCCCATTATGTGTGTGGGCTTTCCAGTCCCTTGGACATGAAGATCTCAGCATGTGTTGCCCTGAAAGTGGTTCATGAAGCACTTGAAGCAGTTTGAATACTTTCTTAAATTGTTTGCTTTGATGTCACTTGTCATGAGCCTTCCTGCTCCAATTAGAAGAATTTTAGAGAGCCAGCAGTAGCAGAAATGAAATGATTGTTTAACATCAGAGATCTTATCTTTTATAGAATGGCAACTAGACAAATAAATCAAGGTGTCCCAAGTACTAACTGAAGCAGTAAAGTTCACCATGCACTTTGCAGGCTGTTCCAAGAGGAAAAACTGACTTTACAAAAATAAAATAAAATTTTTCCATGCTTTCTTTGTGCTTTGGACACCTGATGATGAGGAACTGGATTCATAGTTTATTTGGTGGTGGCACATTTAGAAAGAGTAAAATGGGTGTGGTTCACTGCTCAGCTGCCACTGGTTTACGACCAAAAAGCACTAAGAGGGAACAGCTGTGATACAACTCTTTTATCACATTGTTTTTTTCAAATTTAAGGGAATATCTCCAAGCCAAAAATAAACTTGGGTTAATCTGGGGAAAGGTGAGGTATAAAGTACAGTTTTTTACTTGCCTGTATTATTTTTCTGGCATTTGTTAATCTGTAAAAAATAATGTTTAGTGGTCTTTTTTTAGACTTTATTCTAAAATAATCAGATGTGTGACTGTCTGGTTTACTTTTGATGAAGGATGGTATGAGAAGATACTACAGAGCTATTGCCCGAAGGAGAATTTGTCTAACCAGGTATAGCTGGGCTACAAGGAGGACTTGGTTTTGAAAACTTAATTTTATAATCCATCCTATAAAAAACCTGATCATTCATTAAGTAATCAAAATCTCCTTAATATATATATATGATGTTATATTATTAAATTTCCAAATAATTTTGCTTCAGATGCACTCAAATTATTAGAGGCTATTTGTCTGAAAATTACTTTGCTCTACAGGTTATTTGGTTTCTCCATCTTCCTTGAAAAGAAAAAGGGAGTTATTGCATGTGTGTATTGCGTCCAAAAATTGATAAAATATCTGTATTTAGAAGACACTTAAGCCTATAGAAAATGATAGTTTGTAGTGTACATAGAAGTAAGTGTAAAGAACCAATTCATGCTATTATTTCTCTCGTTAATTGTGTTTTAGAAAATGCATACTGTCTGCTAAAGGAGACAAACCTTCTGAACCCTGGGAGAGAAGCAACCAGGTAATCTGTAGGTGCATAAAAAGGTGGGGTTTTAGACTTCTTGGGTGTGTAAGACTGTGCCTGTGTTACGCAGTGAATAGTGATGAACTGGAATTTAGGTGGACTTACAGACAACTTTTCAGTGTCCAGTTTTTGTGGCTAAATTTTCATTGCATTTAAGATCTCACAGAAATTTTCATTCATCTACTCCCATTACATGAAAAAAATAAGTAGTTGAGAGTTATAATGCAGGAAGGGATTTGCTGTTAACAGAGGCATCACCACTGTTTGAAGCAGCACTTTTCTTTTTCTGAAAAACAATGATTGTAAACATGCACACACTGATAAAAATGGCTTACTTAAGATTTATTTACTATGAAATTAAAACCTGCCATGAAAGACTCTAAGGCTGTATTCTCTTTATATGGTGGTTAAATGAGAACTCCATCTACTGTAGCCAAGCATAAATAATGGATATATTTGTACTTTCTCTGCTCTGAGCCTGCTGTGTAAAGCAATTGCCAAGATGGACCACAGCTTGATAGCAAAGAAGAGGTTAATTTTCTAGTAGATTCTAATTACTTAGGAAGAAGATGGACAAAACCATTAATTTAGTGGTCTGAGAGGTTGCCTGTGTTATCTCCCTGGTGGTAACAGTTTTTCTGCACTGCTTTATAACTGCAGAAGCTGAAAGTAGTATTTTGTTGTTCTTTAATTAAGGTTGCTTTGCCAACAGCCATGCGAGCACATAATCTACCCATTGGAAGTTTAATTCAGAAACTACTAGGCTGTGTTTTCACTTATAAGAAAAATAAACATTTGCTTGTGGTTGAGGGGTAATGATAGAAAAAAGAGCATCTCATTTCTGCAATGTTTAGTGAAGTGTGCTTTTACCCCTTCATTTTCAGACATGTGTCTTACATTTCAGGCATATTTGAGTTACAACAACATGGCAGCACTGACACACCTGGCAGCAAAACCAAGATGGGAAATAACCAGGACGCTGGATGATGTAAGTGCATCATTGTGGAGTCACTGCACAGCCACTTGAGCTGTGCTCCACCACAAGAGCTGGGCGAGGAAAAGCAGTGTTTTACTGTATGTACATCTGTAATACACTGCCTTCACCAGCTCTGCAGAGGTTTCTAAGCAGCAGGGCATTATCTTGTGATAGTTCCAAGTGGACACTGCCAGTCGCACAGCAATTTATGTACCATATTTTTCATATATACCATATTATCTGTCAAAAGGCCACTTGAGGCTGTTCCTATTCATGATTTTCCTTTCAGATATTCTTCTTCCAGCCCCTTTTCTATTAAAAGATTACAGAAGTCTGAAAGCAAAGCGTCTCTCTGTTCACCTACTATTGTTATAAACTCAAAATCAGCAAGGAAACTTTTGTAAGCCAGTTCTAATAGAGGAATATCCTGCTAAGAAAACCAGCAGCAAGATCATGTAGCTGAGAAAACTTGGTATTAACCCAGTTACAGGGCATGTTTCCCAAACCACTGAGAGGCATTGGATATCTGTTAAGGCTGGATTTCTGAAATAGGGTTAGTGACTGGCAGATCACTTTAAAATCATGTAAATCCAGAGATGTTTGGGGGCAAGAAGAGGTGGTTGCAGTACTTTAGTCTGACCTCCTGCACATCAGAGGCTATGAAACTTTGCTGAGATGTGCTTGCATCTGGTCGATGAGCTGCTTGAGTAAGAGCAGACACAAACAATAAGGAATTCTAGTGATTTGGGAATAACACCTACTAACTCTTAAGTACTCTCTTTTACCCATCTTGTTCCATTATACAGGGTTTATGGAATGTGCCCAACCCTTCTTTTGTGTGTTCATTGTTATGTACAAGTTGTTCCTTTTGAATTCTTAATATTAGGGTTTAGGCCTGTGACTAGAAATAGACCCAAAATAATCAAGACAAGATACTACAAGTGTGGGGCAAGAGAGGCAAAACCATGTGTTGAAATAGTTTTCCCATATATCATTGATTCTGGGCGCTCTGCTTCACAGAAAAGAGAAAAAAGGGTATTTTGGAAAGAGAAATGCTGAGTCACTTTAGGGGAAGGGGGCATAGGCCAAGGTGTTGCTGATTTCTATGGACAAAGGCATTTGGTATTTCATGGGCACTCCTGAGAAAATCTGCTGAAGTCCTAAATCTGTAACATTTATAAATCTTAAAATATTCATGCAGTCATTCTTTGTTTTCAATACGTGCTCACTTTTTCTTTCAGATAAAAATATGGACTCTTGAGGAGGGTGATGCGTTATCTTTCAAGGTTGAAATGCAGGTGAAGATCCCATCCGATCTGGCTTTTTACCTTCTGTCCGACTTCACGTTGCGCCAGTAATGGGACAGACATTTCCTGTAAGAACCTGCCTTTCTTCAGGGCCTTGAATCCACTGACAACTAACCCTTTCTGATACAAATATTTCCTGAGATGTTGGCACTTTTCTACCCAGTTAAGAAGAAATTGTTGTAAGAAGCTGACATCAAAGATTTGTTAGTCAAAGTGTGCATTTTGGTTTTTACATTAAAATTTGGGTTATATTCAATCTGATTCCAAATTATAGGTGCCCTGGACTGTCAAAAGAGAGGGATGGGACAGAGGTGACCCCTTTCTTAAATGAACACAATTCCATGCCTAGACATGTGTATGTTAAAAGTGACAAAACCCAAAAGTTGCTAGTAAGAACTTCAAGTTGCATACAACTTGAGGTGGATATATTGTGCATGCTGTCTGTGAAAATTAAGGAAGACTCTGGATTCCTTCACGTTTGTGTTGTTTGGGACACGGATGCTTAGATTCATTCTACAGTGAAAGTGAGAAATCAAGAAATGGGGTTCTTCAAAATGTGTATTTTCAGGAAAAAAAATCTTTTAAAGTGTATCTGAAAAGGAGTAGGTTTTGAAATTGCTGTAAAAGGTGTTTGAGGTTCTTTATTTACCTTATATGGTGTAAAATAATGCTTAGAGTTGAATTAATATGATGCCAATTGGTTTTGGTGAATATTCTCTTAAAGGAGAAGCACTTTCAGGTAATTATTCCATCGTGAAAGGTTTTTACCAGGTGAAAGTGGAAACTTAGGGATATTTGAAAAAATACAATCTCTACTGAATTGATGGCTTGTAACAAGTGAAATCTGAAGAAATACCATGTTAATGAGGTGTTGCAGAAAACCTAAATTTTTCACTCTCTATTCCTCTCTCTCCCTTGCTGCCTGAATGTGAAAATCAAAGGTTTAATGTTAGGATGGAACACATTTGCACTGTGGTTTTTTAAAGGGGATGCTGTTGCATACATCAGGGCTTGTGTGTGTGTGCTACATGTATTTGCAGGACTTGTGAGGTCCTGCAGGCTGTGAGTGAAGAGGAGAAAATATATTATGTGATGTCTCTCCCCACAAGGGGCTACGAACCCAGACACTTTGTGATTCTCATGTCTCAAAGGCAACCCTGCAAGCCACAGTGAGTAGGGCTTTTGCATTTCACTGTGAGCAGGTTCTGTTGACCTTCTCCTCTCATTGGGGGACAAAGATTTTATTTTTTAAGAAGCTAGATTAGTATGTTGGTGCCTGCGTTTGTACAACCGGATTTGTTTTGCGACATGAAGGTGCAGTGAAGTAAATCCAGATCATCACAAATTTACAGCATAGTCCAGTATTGCTTCTCTGATGGTGACTCTTTGGGAGTGGTCTGTCTAGAAGGAAAATAGGCCAGAATTCCAAACGGGAAAAAATATCGTGTCTCAGAAGGCTTGTCAGTGAGCTGAGACACCAAACTGGGAATTTGTCTTGTTATTTGTTTTAACTGACATTGTAGTCCCATTCAACATATTTCTAGAGATCCTCTTATTCAAGGAAGTGCTTGAAACCTCACACAGTTATTTTACCTGTAAATTTTGCCAAGTCTCTTGATCAGTTTAACATCCACTGCTTTTTATTTTATTTTTTATTGGATTTCCTTTTGTTCTTGCATAATGAAACACAGGTAAATGGGACCATTTGGTGTTACTTATCCTTTTTTAGTCTCAATTTCTTTTCTTATATTCAGTAATTCTTCAAGGTAACACTAAAAGGCAGTGTTCCGTACTGTGCTTGCTTTCTACCCTCACATCAGGGGATTGAATGAGTTTGAATACCTTTGCTGGGGCTGCTTCTTAGTAAGAGCTGTTCTGTAAACATGGGTTGTGGAGAGCAGGATAAATTTAAAAAAGGACATGTTGTATGTGAGTGGTTGTTCTTTGGCTTTCCACAGAGGTCTGATAAAGCCTCAGTGAGACCAAGGAGAGCCCAGCCCTTCAACAAGTACAGGTGAACACACAGGAGCTTATTTACCTTCATATGAAAGGGACACCTTTGGTACAGCTGTGTATGTTGTCACTTCTGTGTATCTTTTTGGCCAAGAGAAGTGTTTGATGGTTCCTCTTGCCCACAGTGAACCCTACACCGTGGCTGTGAGGTCGGTGAACCTCAGGGCAGTGCCCCCATCCCCAGAGTTCTCCAGGAGTGAAGTCCTTTGTGCCAGGTTCCAGATACACACCGGCACGAGCAGCTCCTGTGCCGTGAGTGGCTCTGAGGCCTCATCTCTGCCTCCCTTTAGGGAGCATCACCTGTGCATGTCACTGACAATCTGTGAAGGCAACAGCAAAATACAAACAAAAAAATGGGTCTGTTCTCCCAGTCTGGTTGTGTGGAATGAGGTCTAAACTAGACACTGGAGGTTGCTGTGCACCTCCAGAGTCATTCATTCACTCCTAAAACACACTTCTAGAAGGTGTGCATTAAACTGGTCTCTGGGGGTGTCCATCTCTTTCACTGACTACAGAGGAAGTCCATGGAAAATAGTTCAGACTAAATTCCTAACTTTAACTTTCATATGCCAGAAATAACACAATCTGAATCCCATCTCTGGATGAGTGACAATGTTCTTTTCTTGTTCTTTTCCATGGGAAGGCCCAAACGTTTCCATTTAAGAAAACACATTCCTGAAAATATTCAGTAGCTCTCAGTGGCTGCAATTATTATTTTCAGGCAACAGCTTTGTTCACAAAGCACACATATTTAACAGGGTATACATGTTTCTTGCTGCACTGCTCTGTACATCTACCTGCAGATGCTTGAGGATCTGAGAGCAGTGAGGACACTGAGATCAGTGAAGTGCTGTGAAAAGACATGCTTTTTGCAAATTATTGCCTTCAGTTTCAGAAGCACTGTGTGTTTCTATTCACATCCATAAAAACTTTGATGCTCATCTAGGCTCTGCAAAAAATCGCTAACTCTTGCAATCCACAGGCTTTTTTTGTCTCATTTTTTGTTCAAACAGGTGTGTTACTTCAATCAAGTGACATCAGGAGTGATGCCTTACTTAGCTGCAAATCTCGCCGTCTCATCAAAATCCATTGAAGACTCAGCTTTGGAATGTATAAAGTTCTTGGAGATGAAAGGCTGCATGTACTAAAGTTAAAAACAGATTTCTGAATGGACATCTGAAGATTATCCAGCAATTCTGGTTTAAATTCCTGCAAGTGTGTTGATCATTTTTCTACAGATTACTTACGTTGGATCATGTAGCCAGTATTTGGCTTGAACCTGAGAATACCTTGTACAAGCATCTGCTATCAAGTTGAGCTTAGGCTTTAGGATCCAAATTCAATTTTTAATTTAAAAAAGATTAAGGGACAGATTCTGCTTTTGATTGCATTAATGAATTTTGTATAAATGGAGGAAGAACTTGGCTCAGTGGAGCTGTAGCTCATGAGACTGTTTCCCTGTTTTAATATTATACTGTATGAAAAAGGCATCCAAGCAGTTTTAAATCTGTAAATACCACTTCTTGTAACCTGCAAACCAGTGCTACCAAGTAGCTTTCCCTGTGCTCTGACCTGCCTGTCCAAGTCTTTGCAACCCCATTATTTATAAACTGATTACAGCCCATGTAAATTAGAGTTTGCTGCTTTTAATACTTGTCTGTTTATGTGTGACTTCCAATAAATTATTGTTTCTGAGGTTACAAATTCATCACAAATTTCATTACAGGATATCTGGGGTGCAGAATGGCTGCTTTGTAGTGGTGATGGGGACTGCTGGCAACCTCAGTGCCTGGCTGTGGAGCAGAACAGTAACTCTTGGATCCACTCCCTCGCAGATGAAAAGGGGGGATGTTTTCAGAGGTTTTATTGTGGTGTGTGTGCTTTGTTTTCTGCTCTTATTTTTGCTTAAAAGAGCCTTGTTGAGAGGAACGAGTGTGCTCATCAGCAGTTAGATCCTGGCATGGACAGGGATACGAGTGGGATCAAAGCATGAGCTGCAGGAGGGCCACTTGATCTCACTGCAGAATCACAACTGGTACAGGGAGAGCTCTCAGGGTCTGGCACCGTTCCCACTTAAACACATCCTCAGTTCACCCTACAGCCAAACCAGAGCTCTCTTCAGGGATTCATAGGATACAGCACATTTTGCATATGGGAAGTGCAGCAGGAGAGACACCAAGGGAAGCCCTGGAAGCGCTCAGGGTGCCGCAACACCCAAGTCACCTGGGCTCTCCACAGGTCTGGTTTAGCTGGGGTACAAAGCCTTAGTGAAACCAGTTCTGTCTGCAGGGGCTGGCTGCTCTGTGCCACACACAGCTGTTCCTTCCACTTGGAATAGAGGCAGGGAGGCAGGTCCTGGGCTCTGGCTCTGGAGGACCATCCACAGACCCAGATCCTGATTTCGGATCAGCATGGTCATCACAAGGGTGAAGTGCAGCTCCTCATTCTGGGGAGCAGGGACAGCCCCCCAGGACATGGGAGCCACTGAGGCCCTGCTTGTCACTTCCTGGCTCAGCTGGCCCTGGGAAGGCCCAGATCCCTCCAGGACCAGGAGCTCAGCTCCCCAAGTCCTGCAGGGTGCAGGTGAGGGCAGACAGGCCCTGGGCTGGGCAGAGAAGTCTCCAAGATCCCAATTTTTGGTGAAGAGAGACACCTAATGTTGGCTCTGAACACAGGCAGTGGGGACAAAGCCTGGATGCTGCCTGCACCAAACACTGTACATTTATTTACACCTTTATATGCAGCACCTTTTACAGCTGCTTTTCAAACAGCTTTCTTCAGCTACACGCACCTCTGTGAAATCATCAGTGGGTGCATTTAAGGTGTAGTTTTGTCCAACAGTTACTGAGGATTGCTCTGAGTGAGTTGAAGATTGACCCATGGCTCACCCCCTGCCTACACCAGCCCTCACTCGGATGTACTGGCAATGCTAGGACACTGAAAGTCTGTGGCTCCAGGTTCCTATGCATAAAAGAACAGGTTACAAAGCCAAAGAGTTGAGAAATTATCTAAAAAGATGCTTTTTGGACAATACATTTAATTCGTAGAATAGAAAGGGTAACATTGGGATGCCCATTGCAAAATGTCACATAGAAGTGACACTGCTTTGAGCTTTAATCTAATAGTTAATTAAAACTCTGTAATTAATTCTTGATTTCATTCGCATCCACTCTCCTTCCCCATTTAAATGTGTGCTCTGATGAATACAAACTGAATATACACCCCCCAATTTCAGTCAACTTAGTGCGCCCTTGTCTCCACAACAGAACCAGGAAACCTAAAATAAGAGCCATTATATTCTTTAGCAGCATTTTTATTAAAAATAATTAACATGTACAAATATAAAATATATCCACACAATTTAACTCCCCATATTTGTTTTTTGCTTCAAGAAAAGCTCATGAGAGGAGCTCAGGGTGCTCTTCTCCAGTAGCACAACATGCTGCAGGAACTCTCTTTTGAGTTGTTTTCCTAACTTTTCTTTAATACACCTCAGTTTTTCTAAGGTTGCAGTCTCCATTTAAAAACAGTAGGTCTGCCAGCTAGCAGGAGGTGTAGTATACATTCCCAACTTGCCAAGGGATAGAAACAATGAAGATTTTTGAGCATTTTCCTTGAAAAAAAGTAAAGAAACTAAGCAAACTTCTCACTTGTTCTCCAGCTCTTTTCAGGTGTTTTTCACCACAGGTATCAAAGGCAGGGCATGATTCTGTTTGTTACTGAACAAATAAACAATCCAACATGCACTAACAATCAAGTTAATGATTGTTAATTACAACCATGAGTACCAGGAATTGCACCCCCAAGCTAGACAGGCCGTAGGGTTTACCTGTAACTTCACCACAAGAAGTTACATATGTGCCAAGCTGGCACATATAGAGGAAAAAATCAGTTATTCCTAAAAGGAGAAGGCAAAACCAAGCCAGAACCCAACAAGAACCTTTAAAAAGTACCCAGAATCCCTTTAGTAAAATACCCACTTGGTGTATTTCTGTTGTTCCTAGCTTTTCAGGGAGCTCGGGGAGTCTGGGAGGCAAACTGGAAAAATGAACGGAGACAAAAAAATAACAATTCAGCAGCACTCTGCTTGATTTTTTTGGAACCAGCTCTCTGTAGTCACTCTTCTGCAGCAAAGCAGCAGTGAAGGGCCAAGAGACCTTCAAAAAGTCACAACTTTGGGTACTTTGGCTTTTGGCTTCTGCAGCTTTGGTGCTTCAGTGACTTCCTCATGGTCCGCACTCATTCCAGAGACCCATCGCCCAACTGTCAGCTGCTCTGCAGGGGGACACAGAGGGTGGGGAAAGGCTCAGCACTGCCAGCATCAAACCTTCACACCTGGGCAAGGCTGGGCCCACGAGGGCAACAAATCAAATCATACCAAGAGTATCACACAGATAAACTCAAGTTTATATTAAAGCAGGCCCAATAAACCCACCTGAAAAAATTAAAGGCTGCAGTGCCTAAACCTCTTTGCCAGCTGTAATTATTCCTGTAGTCTAAAAGTACTCTGCATGATGCAAACTGATTTCACAGAATATCACAGTTCTTACCAACGGTGTCACAGTTCCAATTAATTCAACTGTTTTTAACCAGCAGTACCAGTTTTGAAACACCAATGTAAGGACAAAGATCTCCCTTGACAAACTGAACAGCACTAGTGAGTCTTCATTGTGGATGTAAAACTTAGGCAGAAAGAGGTAGAAAAGAACTGCTTACAATCTTTCAACGCAGCAGTCACCTGGGTGGGCACTGCCCAACTATCTGCTGATGAGTTTGGGGAAATTTATTTAAGAGTCTTTTTGTGTTAGAAACTTCTCTTCAGACTCAACCCCACCCACTCTAAGCTGGCTAAGCAGCATGCACCTAGAATGCTACATTTCATGTAACAGATCTAACAATATCATATATGTAAGATTAGATACAGAAAATGCCTCTACTGCGTCCATAAATATTTCTTACATAAATTTCACCAAAGTGGCTTACTATTAACCCAGAAGTTCTAAGCACCATAAAAACTAAGTAGAAAAAAATCACAGATGTTGTCACCACTTCAAGTGGTAACAGAATCATTCTTCAAACCCTTTTTTGATGCTTTTGCCTCCCTGAGCACAGTGGGGTTTTGGGGTGCTTTATATAGTTTTAACACCCACATTGGAAAACTGAAGAACATGTAAGAAAGCAGCTCATTAGCTGTGGATCCAACTGGACACACATCCTGTCTCCTCCTTCTCCCCCATCCCTGACACACCTGCCTGCACACACTACCACCTTGCACCTGACACTGTGTTCACTTCCACCACCTCACATTGGAATCATCAAAAATCAGCAGCCAGTCTAGTTACACAGCTGCCAAGCTATGAACAGCAGCACAAACACTGGCTAAAAAAATACAGATTATCTCATATCACCTTTGGCAACACACAAGATAACTTTCTGTTAAACAAGAACTATCTTAGTTTTGCACTGCAGTTCGCTGCCTTCCTCCACACACCCCTGAATATCAGCACTCATTCCCAAAGAAAGGTCACCTTTGCTGTTCCAAGTTCTCCCAAACCCTTTTTCCTGACTGAGGTCAGGCAAACCAGTAAATGGACGCTGCTGGCTTCAAACTCCACCCCACAGTCTCCTGCAGCTCACCTGCGTTCTGTTTCTCTGGGCAGTCCTTTTTGAAGTGCTCCACGGAGCCACAAAGTTTGCAGCCCCCACCTGTTCACAGAGAAAGTTGTTATTCACAAGGAAAACAAAAACCAGCAAACCACCCAACAAAATGCCTCCCTCCATGTCTCTGAGGGGCAAGAGCTGCTTGTGATCTGCTTGTGTACTGCTCTGTACAGAACCACATACCATTTCTGATTTGTTGGAAGCTCTCTTTTTGAGAAACCAGCTGCATTCTGCCAAAATTCATACTCAAAGGAACTTTTGAAGTTGACAGGAGGCCCTGAGCGGTAGGTAATCCAACGGCAGGAACTGAGATATGAAATTTAAATTCTACTCCTAATCCAAACATTTGAAAGCAAAGTGATTCTTCTCCCACTTCCACTATGCTGCAAGATCACCCTTTGGAATTTGCCAGACACCACGTTTGTATTGGGGAAACAGGTTGCTGGTTGTTGGTGCCAATAGGGAAGTCAGGAAGAGCAGAATCTGAGTGAAACCCGCAAACTTAGATCCTCATTAAAGTCACTCAAACCAAAGATATCCATCTTCTAGTGAGAGCCTGTGATTTGCCACCTCCCAAAATCTTAATAGGGTGACAGTACATTTTTACCACCTAATTTGGTGCATGTACATGTAAGTATACACTGACTACAACATGATTTTGTTTCCTTGTGTATCTCTTGATATTGAAGCACAAGCAAATTCTCACACTTTGGCACCTCATCTCATTGTTTAACTCTAAGCTTACAATTAAAACAGAAATCCCCAGGTAATTAATTGACAATGAATTCCCTAGAATTACTCTGCTTTCACCAAAAAAGACACAGAAATTCCATTTAGTCAAGTCTTCATTCACTCGCAATGTTACTTTGCTCTGTATCAGGTAAGAACGACACAGAAATTAGATTTTACTTAATTTAGTAAATCAGCACACTCACCTTCAGCATACAGTCCTTTGGGATTATCCGGACACGACCTTGACAGGTGCCCCATCTCACCACAGATGAAACATT